ATCAAATATGTCTTGGGTCGATAATTTTTTAAAAATCTAAAGTGTTGGGAAAAATTTTAATAACTGAACAGGCTAAATCTGACATGATTACACTTAACAAGCCTTCATATAAAGCTCTGAATTGGTTTTATTTTTTATTTTTTTAATTTAAAGATTTTTATTTATTTGACAGCGAGCACAAGCGGGGGGAGCGGCAGACAGAGGGAGAGGGAGAAGCAGGCTCCCTGCTGAGCAAGGAGCGCAATATGGGGCTTGATCCCAGGACCCTGGGATCAAGACCTGAGCTGAAGGCAGATGCTTAACCAACTGAGCCACCCAGGCACCCCCCTCTGAATCCGCTTTAAAAAAAAAATTCGGTATGATGTGATTTAGTAGAAGCAAAATCAAGAATTTTTGTTTATTGTTAACTCCAAATAAGTTAACTGAACATTATAAGATGCTTAGAATAAACGCACATACTGGTTTCATTAGGAAAGGCAGCTAGGAGATACCATGAAGGAAGTGATGGATCCTTTCTGTGCTACCCAGCCCGGAACTGGAGTATTGATCCATGTGGGGTCCCACAGTGGTAGAGGGATCCCGATATATTGGCGTGTGTCCAGCCATGGTGACCTGGATGAGGAGAGACCTAGAAACTTTGGTGTGTGACATAGCTGAGGGGCTGGAGGGAGCTGCTGAGAAGGAGAGGAGCAGATGAATGCAAAGTGTGATCAGAGTGGTCAAGCTTTTGGAGGGCTCAGGGCAGAGGAAATGTGTTGTGTTCTGTGTCGCTCTGGAGAGCAGGACTGGAATTGCAGGGGGAAGCTATAGAAGGTAGATTCAGGGGCGCCTGGGTGGCTCAGTCGTTAAGCGTCTGTTTTCGGCTCAGGTCATTATCCCAGGGTCCTGGGATCGAGGCCCGCGTTGGGCTCCCTGCTCGGCAGGAAGCCTGCTTCTCCTTCTCCCACTCCCCCTGCTTGTGTTCCCTCTCTCGCTATGTCTCCTCTGTCAAATAAATAAATAAAATCTTAAAAAAAAGAAGGTAGATTCAGCTTCGTGTAAGGAAAAACCTGTCCACGTTGAAGGCGGCCTCATAAGAAATGAGCTGTCCACGTCTACAGAACACAAGCGGAGTCTGCATCAGGGATATGAAGGAAGAGAAAGGAAAGGCAGAAGGGAGAACAGGAGAGTGAGGCAAGCAGAAAAAGAAAGGAAGGAAAAAGAGAGGCAGAGGTGGAAGAAAGGGAGAGAAACGGTGAGGCAGAAGAAACGCTTGGGAGAGAGTACACGCTGAGTTGCTGCAAGTGCTTCACGTCTTCCTTAGCCATATCCTGAACGGCCAGCAGGTGGGGATATCACCCAAGGAAAAGAGGACGACCTCCCGCCACCAGCGCACCCCGCCCCAGCCTTATTCTTTCTTACTCTCTAAACATCGGTTCCCTCTCCTGAAAAATGAAGCTAAGAGAGAACTCCAGAAGTCTCCGAATTTCCAAACTAAGCTTATAAACAAACATTTTATGATAAATGTAGCCTGTGATTACCCCTGATTCTAATTTAGAAGAGGCCTTTGTAGGTGTTTGCATTTTGGTCACTGCCGGAAGATGGCTCCCTCCATCTTGCCTCATCCCAGTTATATACACGTGCATTTATACACATATGGTGTACATGTGTTTTGAATCATTGTTAAATAATTAAACAACATAGGGGCATACTACAGTCCTCTTCCCAGTCACCCTGCCATTAACACTTTGCTTCCTCAAATAGAAGCACTGTCACTTTGAATTCTTAACTGCTGTAATTCTGGGAGTCTTTGCTCTCAATCCATATGTGCTTTCTTCATTCTTCCACCCAGCCATAAAGCAGCCCATTCTCAGGACTTTCACAGACTCTGTCTGACTGGTAAAGATGTGCCTAAAAGGGAAATAATCTTTTACGACTGTGCTTCTCAACCTTGAAGTGCACACTAATCACCCAGGGACCTTATCAAGTGCAGATTCTGATTCAGAGGCTGGAGATTCTGCACTGCTAATGAGTTCCCAGATAACATTGATGCTGCTGGCCCAAAAGCCATACTTTGAGTAGAAAGGCTATACATACATATGTCCCTATATCAGGAGGGGTCAGGACACCTCTCAAGAACTACAATTGACTCCTTTTAGCCAGGCTGTCTTGTCAGCCTTTGACTTAACTGCTGATGTTTTCATTCAACCAATCATTTATAGAGAATCTACTCCGTGTAAACCCAATACCCGTTAATTTTAAGCACCATTAGTAAGCATCTTTGAGCTCCAGTCCTGAGGTTCCTAGGATTAGTGATGATTCAGATTCATTCCTTGCCCTGTCACTCATTCATTCAACATTTATTGAGGATCTACTTATGTGCCAGGCAGTGCTCCAGGAACTGGAGATGCAGCAGTAAACAAAACCATAAATCAGAGTGCCTGGATGGCACAGTTGGTTGGGCATCTGACTCTTGGTTTTGGCTCAGGTCATGATCTCCGTGTCATGATCTCAGGGTCATGGGATCGAGCCCCATGTCCGGCTCTATGCTCAGCACAGAATTTACTTGAGATTCTCTTTCCTTCTTCCTGCCCCTCCTGCTTGTGTGCTCTCTCTTTTTCTCTCAAATAAATAAATAAATCTTAAAAAAAAAAACAACACACATAAATCTGTTTATTGCTTAACTGCCAACTTGTTTATTGTTAACCTCAAGTAAGTCTGTCTCCAATAGGGGAGACAGGTAAATAAGTAGGCAATTAAGCTCCTTTCCCCCCTCCCCTTTTTCCTTTTTTTCCCCCTGAACAACTCAACCCTAAAGCCATTCACTGGGGTCAAGCATAGTAGCTTTGCACTCAGAGGAATAGGGGAGCCTGCAGTGGTCAAGGGCAGGTGCTGGAGCCCAAGCAGGATGAGCAGGTTATCCATGTGGAAAAGTGTGGCCTGGTACAGACTGTCTGAGCCCAAGCAAGGTGAGAAGGACATCTGGGCAGGGGGACACCCTGGTGAGGGTTGTCAGAGTCTGAGCAGAGTAAGGAGGGCATCTGTGATGGTTAATTTCACGTGTCAACTTGACTGGCTTCTAGGTGCCAGATTAAACATTATTTCTGTGTGTGTTTATGAGGGTATTTCTGGATGAGATTAGCATTTTAATTAGCTTTTAATTTAATTAGTGGACTCAGTGAAGTAGACTGCCCTCACCAATGTGGATGAGCATCATCCAATCCCTCAAGGTCCTGAATAGAACAAAAGGTGGAGGAAGAAGGAGTTTTCCCATTTTTTTTCCTGCCCCATCTGTGAGTTGGGACATCTCATCTCCTCTGGTCATTGGGCTTGAAGTTACACCATTGGCCTCCCTAATTCTCAGGCCTTCGGATTTACACCACCAGCTTTCCTGCCAGTGTACACATGGCAAATTATGGAACTTCTCAGCCTTCATAATTGTGTGAGCCAATTACTCATAATAACAAATCTCTCTCTCTCTAAATATATAAATAGATATAGATCTCCTACTGGTTCTGCTTCTCTGGAGAACTCTAAACTAATACAGTGGCCACGTAAAGGCCAGGGCTTGGTTTAAGGTGTTAGAGCCTGAATGGGCTAATAGGCCTCCATGTCAGGTGCTGGTGGTGGTGGTAGTGATGGGAGATGTGTTACTTACAGGAGGACTGATCAAATAGGTATATTAAGGCTAATGGAAGCCAGGTTTCTCACTGTCAGCAAAGGAAGTTACAAATATGGGAGGAAAGAACATCAGAATAAACCCTGTGGTGCTCAATTGGAATTAGAGGTCAGTATGATCTCATGGATTTCAATGTGGATTTAGAAATACTAAATTTTAGAAATAAATGGATTTAGAAATCCTAGATTTAGAAATAAATCACTGTTAGTTGTAAAAGTGTGTTTACTTACATGTATTCCCTAACTCAGTTCATTCAGGCCTGGGAGCCATGGCATCCTCAAAGCAGTCCCTACCTACTACACAGATCTTGTTTTTAATACCATCCTCTACCAAGAGAAACCAGAACTTCTTGGAGAAATGGGTGATTCGAGGGTTGGGGGAGGGAAACTCCAAGTCGAGCTGAAATATCTTGTGCCCGAAAGTAAGGACATGTTCAAAAAAATGATGTGGACATGTTAAAAGAACCCAGAAACCAGCTTAATGGGGTTCCCACTGGCTCAATCTGATAAAACTTGAAAATAAGTGATAGTAGCAGATTCTAATCTATTGAATAAAATAGGAATCTACAAGCCTAGAGTGATATAAATAAATGAATAAATTGTTAGTGTGATGAACAGAATGTTTAGTTTCTAAGTACCTGCCCACAAAATAAGGGGAAGGTACAAAGGGAAAAGAGTAACTTTACAGCTGAGAAAACTGTAAGGCGTGTAAGTGGTCAAAGTTACTATAACCAGTACACCTACTAGGATACAATGAGCATCATATCTGTGATATTCCTGCCAAAGACCCATAACCTGAAACTAATCACTTGGAAACGTTAGACAAATCCAGACTGAGGGACATTCTACAAAACAACTGGCCTATAATCTTTAAAATTTTAAACTAATAGAGTGAGGAACTGTTCTGGGTTAAAGGAAACCGAAGAGCGGTGAAAACTAAACGCAACCTGTGTTTTGGAACAGGTTCTTTCTGCTATAAAAACTTTATTGGGACAATTGGTGACGTCATTTGTTGAGTCTTGAAAGAAGGCAATGTGGATAACAGAGATGAGACGACTTGAGTTCTTGTCCTTCAAAAATACCCTCCTTTGAGTCCACGTTCAAGGGTCCTGCTTTGGCCCTTCTGCTGTGGTAACTGCCCTGGTCCCACACAACCCTTTAGGTGCAGGCGGAGTCCCGCGCCTCGGAGGAGAGGACTGTGGTCCCGAGTAGGCGGAAGCCCCGCCTCTCCATGCGGAGGGGCGGGGCGAAGAGTGGGCGGGGATGGCACGCCTCCGCCCTCAGGGGAAGAGCGAATAGGGGGCGGTGTCGGGTGGGGCGGAGCCACGCCGTCTCCGCACGCGCGAGGCGTTGCCGGTGAGGCCACGCCTCTTCCGCCCCGCAGCTCCGACACCGCGTGTGGACTGCTCACGCTGCCGGGGCCGGGTTTCTCTGAACTCAACCTTGGTGTCCGGACTGGCGAGATGGCGGCGGAGGTGTTGCCGAGTGCGAGGTGGCTGTACTGTGGGGAGCCCGACGAGAGCCAGAGAGCAGTACTGGGTAAAGACTGCGGAACCGGAGCAGAGTTCCCCATAGCTCCCTCCCCTTCATTCCGTTTGTATGCCTCTGCAATCTTCCTGCCCCTGTCGGGCCCCTTTCCCAGCTGGGCCAAGACCCCCTCCAGTCTCCTCCACTCCTTGGGGCTTGACCAGGGTGCCTTTGTCATCATCCCACCATCTTGCTGTCACCACTTCCCAGCTGGATGAGGACGTCCCAGGCACCCTTCCCCCCAGGGCTGTACCGGTCATCCATGGCCTCATCCACTCACACCTGCCTCGCTTCTCTCCACCGGGTAGAGATTCCCCTGTCTCTCTAGGTCTGGGCTAGGCCTCAGCTCTATTCCCCTAGTTATTTCCTTCTGTTGCAGCCCTCCCCAGCACTGCCCTCACTTCCCCATCTCCTCTTCCCAACTGGACCAGGACCTCCTTAAGTCCCCCTTTAGGTCAGGACCTGGCCTTCCTTACCATTCCCATTCCTTTAATCACTCCCTCCCAACGAACAGTCCAGTTCTTCCCTACCATACACTGTGGGTCCTTCTACTCTCATCTCATTCTTGGGCTGCAATCTTACAGTCCAGTTCTCCAATGGGAAGCTGCAGAATCCAGGCAACATGCGTTTTACTTTGTACAAGAGCAATGACTCCACAAACCCCAGGAAGAAGAGTCAGCGGATCCTAGTAAGTGCCGCGGTAGCCAGTTGCCTCCACTTTGCAGGTCTCTGGAGGCCTTAGAGGCCCTTGGGTGTGGGTGGATGCGGGAGGGAGAGGAGAAAAGGGAGATAGCAAATGAGCCTTTGAAGAACTCCTGTGAGTCCCAGCAGGTTGGGGTATGGGGACAGGCTCCATTCAGTTATGTACTTTTGGTGACGTGATGGCCTTTCCTTGATTTGTTCATTCAGCAAGTGTTTATTGAGCACCCACTGTGGCCTGGTGTTGTAAGCTGCAAGGGAAACAGCTAAATCGGACCTGGCCCCACGCTAAGGGAGCTCCTACTCTAGAGCAGGGTTTCTCAGCCTCGGCACTATTGACATTCTGACCCAGATAATTCTTTGTTGTGGGCCAGACCGGTGCATAGCAGGATGTTCAGCAGCTTCCCTGGCCCCTAATCACTAGATATCAGTAGCACCTCCTCTTTGTGACACCCAGAATGTCAGACATTCCCACATGTCCCCCGAGGGGATTTGCCAGGTTGAGAACCACTGCTTGAGAGAGGTGAGAACTGGTTTTTTGAGTTCAGTAACTCATACAAGCGGACAAGCTCAGAGCCTGAGGGAGGGAGAGCGAGCTCAGTCAGAGAAGTCTCTTCTTGCCAGAAGGCCTTCCTGGGGGAGGGTGCGGCTGGCCAAGTTGAGCTCTGAAGGGTGGAGGACGGTTTGACAGCTGAGGTTTCCTATTCCAAGTGAAGAGGATAGCAGGGACAAACATAGGGAAGCAGGAAAAGCTTGGCTGTGATTGAGGAGTGAATAAGCCCTTTCCATAGTCCTGCCAGCATATAAGGAATAGTCATGGGAGAGGTGAGCGAAGAAGTTCAGGAAGGGCTTGGACTTTGGGCCCTTCCTGAAGGTTGCTGGCAGAACCATTTTATTGCATGCCTCTAAGTGCTGGGAGCCCAGGACCTGTCTCCCAAGGCCTGTGGTGCAGCTCCCCCAAGAACTTTTCAGACCAGCTAGAAGCTGGCACTATCTGGGGCTTCCCTTTTAAAAGTCCTCTTGCCTTTCTCCCAGGGACACCGTGGATTCACTTGGATAGTGGGGCTGGATCATCTTCCAGAGGCTCTCTAGTTCTAATCCACTGCGGTTTGGATTCTAAAGCTTTTGCAAATGTGGGAAAGGGGGTCAAGATGCTTAATACGTTTCAACATTGGTTGTAGTGGTGCTTTTCCCTTTACATTTTAGGCAGCTGAAACAGACAGACTTTCCTATGTGGGAAACAATTTTGGGACCGGAGCTCTCAAATGCAACACTCTGTGCAGGTAGGGGTAGGGGAAGGGATGCGAGAAGGGGAGGATAGTGATGGTGAGCCTGGCACTGCTGTTTTTGGTCTTTATTTTAGGGGCAGTAGGGGAAATCTGGAGAGGTTTACCATGACCCTGTGTTCCCAGATCCAGGGACCTTCACACCAGCATGCAGACATGCCGGAAAAGAAAAAAATGAGTTACATTTGTTGGATTTCCTAAAACCTCATTTATTTGTAATTTTCTTTAAGATAATTTTTTAGGGGCGCCTGGCTGGCTCATTCAGTGAGGCATGCAACTCTTGATCTTGGAGCTGTGAGTTTGAGCCCCACATTGGGAGTAGAGATTACTTAAATAATACAATTTTTAGTTGAGATATGATATGGCATGACATTAGTTTCAGGTGTACAGCATAACCATTAGATATTTGTATATGTTGCAAACGGTCACCACAATAAGCAGTCATCCATTACCACACAGAGTTACAATTTTTTTCTTGTGGTGAGAACTTTTAAGATTTACTCTCTTAGCAACTTTCAGATACACAGTATTGTTAACTACAGTCACCATGCTGCACATTACATCCCCAGGGCTTACTTATTTTGTAACTGAAAGTTCCTTTTGATCTCCTTCATTACTTTGCAATATTCTTTATAACTGTCTTGTTCCCAAAAGGTGGCCTTCTCCACTTACTTGGAGTGTGTGATCAATAGGCCAAAGCTTGCCAGAAGTTTCTGCTGGAACAAGGAAAGGGTTTGGTAGTGTCAAAAGCTCCAGGGTCTCCATGCAGCTCTACCATTGATCAGCTGGCTTTGGCAACTCTGCCCTTCACTAACCCCCAGGCTCCCCCTCGGGGCGATGAAGACTGTCCACGGGAACAGCCTGAGTAACTGTCGGGCGCTGGCAGAAGGCGGACAGTGTTCTCTGATAGTATCCAACAGTGAACCACAAAAAAGGCCCTTTCTTTTTTTTATTTTATTTATTTATTTGAGAGAGAGAATGAGATAGAGAGAGCATGAGAGGGGGGAGGGTCAGAGGGAGAAGCAGACTCCCTGCCGAGCAGGGAGCCCGATGCGGGACTCGATCCCGGGACTCCAGGATCATGACCTGAGCCGAAGGCAGTCACCCAACCAACTGAGCCACCCAGGCGCCCCAAAAAAGGCCCTTTCAAAGCCCCCATGGCACCACCCTGATAGACGTCAGATTAATTTTATATGCTTAAAACTGTTAACACCGCGGCATGCCTTTACGAAGTTCTCTAGTTCAGACTGGTCTTCTCCCCATAATCCCCACAGTTTTACTTGTCTTTGCCTCCATAAAATTCATGTGTGCAATAAATGCTAGTGTAATTCTAGACTCTTCTATCCCCAAAGGGTTTCCCACTACTAGGCCAGTGAGCACAAATGTAATTGGCTACCAGAATCACCTGGTAGCTTTTTTTTTTTTTTCCTTCCAGAACTACCTTTGTTGTGGGTAGTATCTCATGAACTCCCTCCCTCCTTCCTTCCTTTCCCTCTTATGCTAAGAATGGCTGCTGTAGGGGATTACTGTTACTCAGCAGCCAATGTTGTGTTCCTCGAGCGTATTGGGGCAGAAGGGCCAGTGAGAACTTTTAAGCAGGAAAAAGGAAGTTGTATAAGCAATACGTTTTGAATAATCTATTGTCATTGGTGTTATTCCTCCTTTGTTCAGGCATTTTGTGGGAATTCTGAACAAGACCTCTGGCCAGATGGAGGTGTATGATGCTGAGTTGTTCAACATGCAGCCCCTGTTTTCAGGTAGGGCCCTGGTATGAAGGCTCACAAAAACACTGCATGTTTTAGGCTTGTTGGATGAGTTGGTTTTTGATTTGTAAAACACATTTTGTAGTTATTTTTAAAAGGGTGTCTTCCTGCAAATATTTATATGCAGGAATATGCTCCAGGCACAAATTAGGGGTTAGAGATACAGCAACCAGCAAACCAGACATAGGTCCTGTCCCTACAGTGTTTACAGATTTGAGATCAGAAAATAGTCTTCTGGAAGCATTCTCATTCTTGATCTCCTAAAGCACTTTTCTTTTGACTGCTGTGATTCAGTGACCCCTTACACTTGGCTTTCTATGATGTGTGCATTTGCCTCACCTCTTTGATGATGTTTTAATCACTTTTGTATCTCCCTAGCTGCTCAATAAATATTTTAATGAATAAAAAAAAAAAAAGAAAATAGTCTTAGTTAAAGCCACTTGAGCAGTGATCAGAGCAGAATATTGGAGGGCACGTCTGATATTTTTTTCATTCAGAGGTCTTTCTTAACTTCGTTGTTCTAGTTGGAGTAAAGGTTTTAGGGTCTCTAGCAGGTGATGGGAGTTACTGATGGGTTGGACAGTAATTTTCATGTTGAAGAGAAGTCTCTACACTTTTCTAATTTAGGAGGGGATCCATTTTTTCCCTAATCCAGTGGGAGAGCTTGTACTGCTTCTCTGTGTTGGCATCTTAGAATGCTCAGGGCTAGAGTGGGATCTTCCAGAGTGATAGGTGAGAGGGTCAGACTCAAGGGGCTCCTGTTCCCTAAATCTTAAATACGGAGAACCACAGTGGGGGAGGGTATAGATGAGGAAGGATTGTTAGGATCTTGGTGGATCTGCCTCATACCTTCCGACACAGTAGTGCAGCTTGATTCCCTCAGTGCAGTGGTGCCAGTCCTTTTAAGAATCTGGAGGACCTGGACCTACTTCCCAGAAACGTACGTAATATACAAGAATATATATGAGATTTTGCATATGATTGTAAAGGGCTCTTGAGTCCTGAAACCTATCTGTGACTTTCCTAGGGGTACAGAGTCTATAGGTTAAGAATTCCTTGCTTTGCGAACAAATACAACTATGTTTAAAGATTTTATTTACTTATTTGACAGAGAGAGAGACAGCGAGAGAGGGAACACAAGCAGGGGGAGTTAGAGAGGGAGAAGCAGGCTTCCCGCCTAGCAGAGAGCCCATTTGGGGCTCGATCCCAGGACCCTGGGATCATGACCTGAGCTGAAGGCAGACGCTTAACTGACTGAGCCACCCAGGCGCCCAGCATTGGGAGGATAATTTAAATGTAGTTGTATTTGGGGGTGCCTGGGTGGTTCAGTCAGTTAAGCGTTTGCCTTCAGCTCAGGTCATGATCCCAGGGTCCTGGGATCAAGTCCCACTTGGGGCTCCCTGCTCAGCGGGGAGCCTGCTTCTCCCCCTGCCCCTCCCCCTACTCATGCTTTCTCTCTCAAATAAATAATAAAATCTTTAAAAAAAAAAAAATTATCCTCCAAATGCTTTTCTGACTTCTAAGGAGGCAAAGGAAATTGCTCATTAATCTGTTGATTAAACAAATTTTTGTTTTTACATGTAAAAAATTTGTAAGTAATGGTTTATTCTAGCCAGCATATATGTATTTATACATGCACGCACATGCAACATTTATTGATTCCTTACTATGTGCTAGGCACCGTTCTAAGCTCTTTTAACGCACAACATCATTTACTTCATGTAACAACCCTCTGGTGGTTTTATCAGTGACAAAACTGGCACAGACTTTGACAGGGACATACTGCTGATATACATGTATATTATAATATGATACGATGTAAGTTATACAGTTATACTAATATATAATTATAAATTATAATTATATTAATATATAATTATATTATCACTTATAATTATATAAGTAATGTTAACATAACTTATATTAAATTAGTTATGTTGAGTTATTATGTTATATATATCTCATCTCATATATACGTATAGGAGCTGGGAGTGAAACTCAGACAAGGTCACTCTAGAGCTTATGTTCCTGTCCACTAGATTGTACTGCCCCTATATGAATACTTTATGGGAGATTAGAGAGCTTCATGTAAGTAACACATACCTCACATTTATGCCTGCCTTTAGGTCATTTATAAGGAGGGCAAAACTATTTACTGGAAAGAGCTGAGGTCTTGGCTTCTAGTCACATCTCGGCCACTGCCTGGTGAACTGACCTGGGGCACATCATTTCTTTGGGAGGCTTTTTCCTTATTTGTAAAATGAAGAGGTTGGACCCGATGACCCCTTCGTTTGACTCCTTATTTATTCTCCGTATCCTCTAACTGTATACTAAAGCCACAGACTAAATGTTCACAGGATCCATGATGTTAAACTCTGGGAAGTCCTGTAGTAAAGAAATCTGTTTTTCTTAGATTAACCCTGAAATAAATATTAATCACTCTTAAAACCTGTGGGCCTCACAGCTTGCTTTTTTCCCCCCTTCTCTGTTTTTGCTTGTTTTGTGTTTTGATAGATGAATCAGTTGAGAGTGAATGGATACAGGAGAGTGAGACCAAAACTTTTAGAGAAAAGGTAAGTGTGACCAAACTGAGACATCGGACCTGAAGCAGGTTTCTTCTAGCCTTTGCATTTCTCCATCACTAAAATGAGCTGACTGAACACAGGGCTGCTCCCAGCTCATTCAGTCTGTGGTTCCCCAGACAGTCTACCTGCGAGAGGCTTCTCGGCCTCACACGGTGCCGTCCTCCCGTCCGGGGCAGCTAGACACAGCTCCGTGCCGGTGTTTGGAGCTGGTTCTCTGGGCTGACATAGGTGTAGCGTAACAGGTGGTTTTGGATTTAATGCAAGTTTCAGAAAATACTGGTTGTAGCCTGGAAGCTCTCACATTAAAACAAAGTAAACTTCAGGATTTTCAGTGTAGGCGGTTCCTACAAAGCTCATCTCACCCCAGATGGCAAATCGATTGAGTCTTCAGCACTGGCTGGGCACTGTATTGAGAACGGCATGAGGCCGTCTTCAGGCTCAGTGGGAGAGCGTGAGGGATTAGCGAGGTCTGCTGCAGATGTAGGGCTGGAAAATGGTAGGCTGTGTGCCGGATTTACCAATCCTCTTTCTAGTTCAGGCTTTTCACTGTGCAAACGGGGACACCACTGATTTGTAAACAGCCCATGCAGTTTACAAAGCGAGTCCTTCAGATCCATTACTACAACAAGTATGATTCAGCCCAGTTTACAGGTGAGGTAATCCTGGCTCAGAAAGGCTGCGAGTTTCCCCAAGTCCCACAGCTAGGAGTAGTAGTGCCCAGCCTATCCCTAGACAAACCAGATTTGTCTACGCACAGATGGATTCTTGCATCGATGCCTTTGGAACCACCAAACAGAAGCGGGCTTTGAACTCCAGAAGAATGAACAGAGTTGGCAGTGAATCTCTGAATTGTGCAGTAGCTAAAGCTGCAGAGAATATTATTGATGCAAAGGGTGTGACTGGTAAGCAGCTGGGACTTGGGTAAGAGTCTGCTCATAGACACGGCTTCCTCTTCTCTTGAGATCTTTTACCTGCCCCCCAGATGGAAGTAAAGGGCATCAGGGCTGGATTCCTTCCTGACTCTCACAGAGTGCCTCCTTGGGGAACAGAGTCTGGAAATAGTAAGGCACGTCTGCCCTCAGGGAGCTCCCAGTCAAGTAGAGGAGACCGGCGTGCGGACGGGTGTGTGTGTGCCGTGTCCTGGCCGCCAGGGTTCCAGCTGGCAGGGCGCAGAGGGAGAGACCCTCGGCCTCTGGGGGTCACAGGGAGGTTTGGGGCAAGAAACCTGCTGTGATGATGATGAACTGAACCTCTGGGGACAGTGCTTCACTTTGGGATCAGCAGACCTTTTTCTCTTAAACTCAGCAGCACCTTGAGCATTTAATTGTATTATTTAAAAACGTGTTTATTGCTAAAATGCATTATAAGAACATAAGAGAAAGTTTACATAAGAGCAGTTTTTCTATTAAAATGGGATTTTTAGGGACGCCTGGGTGGCTCAGTTGGTTAAGTGTCCGACTCCTGATCTCAGCTCAGGTCTTGATCTCAGGGTCCTGAGTTCAAGCCGCCCATTAGGCTCCATGCTGGGGGTGGAGCCTACCTAAAAATAAGTAAGTAAATTAAAAAAATAAAATGGGATTTTAGTAATTTTTAGAAAATCTTTTCAAACCCTATGATTATATAAATATTTTCCTGTGCTTTCTTTCAGTATTTTCACAATTTTACTTTTTATATTTAAATCTTAATGAAGATTTTTTTTTTTTGGCATATGGTACAGACTAATTTTATATTTTCCAAAGGATTAGCCAGCTGTCCCCAGCTCCATCCTTTTTTTTGTAGAAGATGATTGAAAAAGTCCTCCTTCTCTCTCCTCTGTCTTCTGTTCAATTGTCCATTCTGTTCCTGTGGCAGCACCAGGCTCTTTGGATTTCAGTAGCCTCATCATCCAGCTTATTTTCTGATGGGGCAAATTCCTCCTCCTCTCCTTATTTTTCACAAACATTGGTTAGAGTAGCATGCCTTTTTTTCCCAGGTGATCCTAAGAATTGTTTTGTGAAATTCCCTCAAAATCCCACTGAGAATAAAATGGAGAGAATCAACATCTTCTTTACAATATTGTTTTCTTATCCAGGAACAGAGAAATATGTGTCTCCATTTATTTGAAAGCATAAGTAAATTTTTGAATTTTTTTGTTCAGTTTACTCTCAGCTGTCAAAGGACATTTAAAAAGAAAAGAAAAAGGGGCGCCTGCGTGGCTCAGTTGGTCAAGTGTCGGACTCATGATTTAGGCTCAGATTATGATCTCAGGGTCCTGGGATCGAGCCCCACATTGGGCTCCCTGCTCAGCGGGAAGTCTGCTTCTCCCTCTGCCCTCTGCCCTTCCCCCCACCCATGCTTGCTCTCTCTCTCTCTCTCAAATAAATAAAATAAAACTTAAAAAAAAAAAAAACCTTAAAAGAAAAAGAATTCATTCATTTCCTATCATTTTACCAGATGAACTATTAGAATGTTCCTCTCTGTCCACATCTATATGCTTTCTTAATTCTTTTTTTTTTTTTTTAAGATTTTATTTATTTATTTGAGAGAGAATGAGAGACAGAGAGCAGGGGAGAGGGAGGGTCAGAGGGAGAAGCAGACTCCCTGCTGAGCAGGGAGCCTGATGTGGGACTCGATCCTGGGACTCCAGGATCATGACCTGAGCCGAAGGCAGTCGCTTAACCAACTGAGCCACCCAGGCGCCCTGCTTTCTTAATTCTTATGTTGTTTTTCTTGTTGGGTTGTTCACAGTTTTATATTCTGATTTTTTTTTTTTTTAAGGTTTTATTTATTTATTTGACAGAGACAGCTAGAGAGGGAACACACGCAGGGAGAATGGGAGAGGGAGAAGCAGGCTTCATGCTGAGCAGGGAGCCCGACGCGGGACTTGATCCCAGGACTCTGGGATCATGACCTGAGCCGGCAGACATTTAACAACTGAGCCACCCAGGCGCCCTAAGTTTTTCGTTTTTACTCACAGTTTGTGGAGAAGTTTTCTGGAAGTTAAGCTATGAAAGGCTCTCTTCCTCACTTTTAGCTTCTCTTGTATGGTAAATATTTATTAGCACACCTGTCCCACCCAACTACTGTTGGGTTACTTGAGGGGACCACGCTGCGTGCACCTTCTCCAGTGCCTGGTTAGGTTTGTGTCGTGAGTGGACATCAGCCTGGACCCATCAGCCTGGTCCGGCTGCATTGGCTGAAGCATTCAGATTAGGAGTTTTGGGACCAATTAATCTTGAGTGCATAAGTTGCAGAGTATTGGGGAACCTGAACCCAAACAGGATGATACCGACACCGTCTCTTCCTTTATTGAAAAGCTCTGGTCAATGACGCCATCCATGATGACCTGCAAGATGACTCCCTCTACCTTCCTCCCTGCCACGCTGATGCAGCCAAGCCTGAAGACGTGTATAAATTTGAAGACCGTATCCTTGTTGCAGTAGAAATACTGCTTTATTTCACAAGTTGGGAGATGCATGCATGAGTGGGCAGACAGGCTCTCTGAGGATGTTGCTGGTCCCAGGATGCTCACAGAAGCTACAGCAGGACCTCTCACTTGCCCCGGCGCTGTTGCTGGGAGGTCAGCTAGGCTTCCTCACTGGCTGAGGGAGCGGCCCTCAGCCCCTGAGCCACAAGCCCATTCTTCAGCCAAGTGCCACATGCCCTCAAGTGCAGCCCTGTGGGGGGTCACTATGAGTAGTAAATAAGACTTTTAAGTCAGCCCTAAGTCTAGGGCAGACTGATTTGTAATAAGTAGAGCATGGAATTTCCCTACTTGCGGGTCTAGTCAGAGGGAAAATGCCCGTAGTAGCTTTGTGATAAGCTGAGGAGGCAGAAAAGCCTTGGCAGGGAATGGGCTCTGGGCTGGGAGTCTGGAGAACCGAGTCCCTGCACTCAGCCCCAGTGTATACATTCTGTGTGATCTTCCCCCATCTGGGCCTCAGTTTTCCCATCTCTAACATGGGGCTACTCTGAGATGAGCGAGCTAGTTGGATGTTTCCATTTTGGCCAGATTATGTTCTTGACCTGTCACTAGTTCTCTCCACTGCGGAGTATGAAGCTCTTCAGAGCCCATCCGAAGCTTTCAGGAATGTCTCATCAGAGGAAATACTGAAGATGATTGAGGAGAACAGGTACCCCCCCCACCCCCCCACCCCTTGGGTAGATGGAGTGTCTGGGGCAGTGATGTCAGAACACGACAGTAGTCAGACACGAAGTGGACCTTTAGGGGTGTCCGTCGGTGAGGGCATGTCTTTTCAACATTTGAACATTAACAAGCCAGTGTTTTCTTGAAAATGTTTGGGCTTGGGGCGCCTGGGTGGCTCAGTTGTTAAGCATCTGCTTTCGGCTCAGGTCATGATCCCAGGGTCCTGGGATCGAGTCCCACATTGGGCTCCCTGCTCGGGGGGAAGCCTGCTTCTCCCTCTCCCACTCCCCCTGCTTATGTTCCCTCTCTCACTTTGTCTCTCTCTGTCAAATAAATAAAATCTTAAAAAAAAAAAGAAAAAGAGGGGCGCCTGGGTGGCTCAGTTGGTTAAGCGACTGCCTTTGGCTCAGGTCATGGTCCTGGAGTCCCGGGATCGAGTCCCGCATCAGGCTCCCTGCTCGGCAGGGAGTCTGCTTCTCCCTCTGACCCTCCTCCCTCTCATGCTCTCTGTCTCTCATTCTCTCTGTCTCAAATAAATTTAAAAAAAAAGAAAAAGAAAAAGAAAATGTTTGGGCTTTCAGGCCTCTTGTCCCAAGGCTGTGGGTGGCAGTCAAGGGAGAGAGAGGTGGCCTCTGCATGGAGCCTGTGACTGAGCAGAGGGTGGTGAGGCCTTGTGGTTGGGGGCTTGGAACCGGGGCTGGCCCGTGTCCCCAGTGTTATGCTGATAGTGATTGTCCCTGGTGGGGCCCAGGTGCTAGCCTGCGAGTAGGTGCCAGTGGGGGTGATGGTGTGCTGAGTGAGCTTTTATACACAAAGTTAAATTTATGGGGCACCTGGGGAGCTCAGTCGGTTAAGGGTCTGACTCTTGATTTCCGCTCAGGTTATGATCTCAGGGTCCCGAGGTTGAGCCCCACTTCGGGCTCTACACTCAGGGAGTCTGCTTCTCTCCCTCTCTCTCTCCCTCTGCCCCTCCCTCTGCTCATGCGCATGCTTTCTCTCTAAAATAAATAAATCTGGGGCACCTGGGTGGCTCAGTCATTGGGCGTCTGCCTTCAGCTCGGGTCATGATCCCGGGGTCCTGGGATCGAGCCCCGCATTGGGCTTCCTGCTCGGCGGGAAGCCTGCTTCTCCCTCTCCCACTCCCCCTGCTTGTGTTCCCTCTCTCGCTGTGTCTCTCTCTGTCAAATAAATAAATAAAATCTTTAAAAATAAATAAAAATAAATAAAAAATAATAAATCTTTTAAAAAAGTTAAATTTATGTGTTTACTGTATATTTTATTTTATTTTATTTTTTTAAAGATTTTATTTATTTATTTGAGAGAGAGAGAATGAGAGAGAGAGAACACATGAGAGGGGATAGGGTCAGAGGACGAAGCAGACTCCCTGCCGAGCAGGGAGCCCGATGCGGGACTCGATCCCGGGACTCCAGGATCATGACCTGAGCCGAAGGCAGTTGCTTAACCAACTGAGCCACCCAGGTGCCCTAAGTACTGTATATTTTAAAGAACTCAGATTATCTCCCCTGTCTCCTTTGGCCCTTAAATCAGCTTTTCTTTTATGATGATAGTGGAATTTTCTTTTGAGTTTTTTCTTTTAATAATTTCATCTTGAGAAACTAAAAAATTGCCAACCCTAGGTTGGTTCCCTGATTTTTGAAAGTGCTTTTTTTGTTGTTGTTCCAAAGATACGTTTCCAGAAAAGCTTATTCTTGGTTCTGGGTTGTCTTCATGTATTGTGGCTCTGCAGCAGGTGCAGGAATGGGCTCTGGGCTGAGAGTCTGGAGGCCTGAGTCCCTGAGCTCTGCCTGAGGTACTGTGTGATCTTCCCCTCTCTGAGCCTCAGTTTTCTTATCTGTAAAATGAGGCTGCTGTATAAGATGGTCTTGAAGAGCCTTCTTATCTCTGTGAGTCCGGGATCCTCCTGGTGGTGGACCAGTACATAAAGATAATAGCTAACACTGATGGAGCTCTTACATGTGCGTGTTTCTACACACTTTCCTTGCATTGGCTCATTTAATGCAGAGAAAACCTCTAGGGGGAGGCTATATTTTTGTCCTAAATTTTTAGGTGAAGATGATGTGAAGATGATGTACAGAGATGTATAGAAGATAGAAACTTGCCCAGGCCACTGAATGGCAGAGAGGGGGTTCAGACCCAGGCAGTCTGACCCACAAGCCTGTGCCCCAGACCACTGCGTCAGGATGGGGCAGCCTGTGGCCTGTGAATGAAGCTGTGAACACAGCCGTGGCCGGTCGTTTGTGTATTATAATGATGCCCTCGCAGTACTTTGGCGGCTTTGGGTACCTGCAGCAGGGACCATATGGGCCACAAAGCCCGAAATATTTACTGACTAGCCCTTTAGCGCCTTAGCTCTGAAGCGTGCTCGCTGTGTTATGAGGAGCATTAGTAGGATGGCCCTTCCTCGACCGCTAGTGTGTATCAGCTGTGGGGGATGCCCACTGTTTTCGTTGTGAGAGTGGGAAGTGCCCCTGACAGAGTTGGTCTTACACATTCCTCCCTTGCCCCCCGCCCCCCCCCGTTTTAGCCACTGCTCCTTTGTCATCGAAGCGTTGAAGTCTTTGCCATCAGATGAGGAGAGCCGAGACCGCCAGGCCCGATGCATATGGTTTATGGACACACTCATCAAATTTCGAGCACAGAAAGTGATTAAGCGGAAAAGTAAGTCCATGATAGACATTTTATTCTAGTTATTTCCAGCCTGTTACTTGTCTCTTAGGCCAGCTCTAAGGAGAGAAGAAAATGCATGTACTTGTCTAGATCTTTATTTCTGTCTAACAGTGGGGTTCCTGTAGACACCGCCAACATGCCGAAGGGATCGGCCCAGCCCTTTCCCCATCTGAAACTAACAGAGCTAACATTCACTGCTTCTCTTCTGCATTGGGCAAAGTGTAGTATCCAGTCAAATCAAAGGCAAATTTTAAGGGACGGTCGGACAAACATCGGTCCTGTGTGGAGAAAAATCGGCCTCACTCACGTGAAGCTGGTGGCAGGGCTATGTTGTGTCAGCTTATCTCCCACTGAGAAAGAAGAGAGTCCATTTCGCCTGGTAACCCGTGTCACCTACAGCGAGGGCCACGGGTCGGGGGAGGGGGTTGCCTCGCGCTCCTGTCTCCCTGCAGTTGGAAACGCACCTGTGGTTTTAGGCACAAGGTGGTGCCGTCTTGTTACGGTGCTTGAGCTCCCGAGAGTCTGTATGTTGTCATTACTTGCTTGCTGCTCATTTTCACGTTCCAGGCTCCCCTCCTTTCCCTCTCCCTGGGCTTTCGCCACAATCTGTGTTGCATCTTACAAATTCTGCTGCTTTAGGCCTCATTGGAGTCTGTTTCTCCTTCTCACCGCTGCCCCATCACAGACGTCTCTCGGGGGCGTGCGGCCTGCAGGCTGAAGCACCCCCGAGCGTGCTTGCATCGGGAAGTGGCTCTCCTGTTTCACGGGCCCCTGCTTCTCTTACCACATGGTTCTGTTCTTGTGGCACAGCTGTTGGCCTCTTGTCCCAGCTCACGGAGGAGGTGTGGTCCAAGGGTTTGGAAACAAAGTGAGCAAACTCACCTTTGTGTTGCAGGTGCCCTGGGGCCTGGAGTCCCCCACATCATCAACACCAAACTGCTGAAGCATTTCACCTGCTTGACCTACAACAACGGCAGGTCGGGGACTGACTTCGGGGCTTCTGCCTGTAAAGGAGAAAGCGGGCAGGGAGGGCGGGACTAGAGCGTGGATTGGCTTCCGTGTCCGCAGACACCGCTGAGGAGAGCACTCACGGCCCTTTGCAGGGGCCTGGGGTCAAGTCAGTTGAGAAAACCCTATATATTACATGCTCTGTCCCCCTTGGAGAAGCTCCCATTAGAGGCTCTGGGAAGTCCTGCCATGGAGACTTCTTTCCAGGAACCCTTCCTCATAGCCCACCGAGCCAGTGTGCCGAGGGAAGGCAGTGTAGCAGGAAAGGGCAGGCCAGTGTAGGGGCTTGGGGGGAGGACCCCCAGCGGCACATCTGGCCTTCTTTCTTGCCCTTTGCTTGGACTGTGTTTCCTGCTCTGAGTGTGCTTGGAAACCTCCTCAGCAACTGGGTTTGGGATGACTGGCCTCCCAGCAGCCCGGACAGGCCCGGAGGGTCCTTGTGTTTGCGAGGCTCAAACTGTGCCTGGGGAAAGTATACGTGTGGGTTTCTCTGACCCACTTGGAGGGAACACTGAGGTTGGCTCACTGCTCCACTGTGTGTGAAGGTGCGGGCACCTTGACAGGACCAGGAATGGTGCTCATCTTTCTTTTCTTCTCCCCAAGATGGGAAGACATTGAGTGTGCATGAGAACAGGCCTGGATGTTTTTATTTTGCGTTCGGAATAATCATCTTAGTTTAATGCTGTCTCTCCTTCACTGCCATTGCTTTCGTAGCCTCCGGAACTTAATTTCGGATTCTATGAAGGCGAAGATCACTGCATATGTCATCATACTTGCGTTGCACATAAGCGACTTCCAGATTGACCTGACCGTGTTACAGAGAGACTTGAAGCTCAGTGAGAGAAGGTGAGCACCGCAGAATAACAAGCTCCCTGCAGGGTGCTTGATGTTTTTCTAGTACTGCTGGAAAGCAGGACGCACCATCAAGGGGCAACTGGGGACATGTAGTATGGATGAGACTTGGGACCGGGGGACAGTTGGCAGTGCACGAGTGAGTGAACGGATGAGCAACCAGACATGGAGTGCCTTGTCTGTGCGAGGCACAGTTTTAAGTCTGTGATGACCTCAGTGATTTCCCTACAAAACAACAGGAGAACCCTCAGTTCAGAGAAGTCATTGACTTTCCCAGGCTCACACAACCAAGATGGGAAATAGTTGGGCTTCAAGCCTGAGCCTTCCCATAGCATTCGGTCCCTTTGTAACCAAGCAATCTTGCAATTGCTGTCACTGGGGAGAGGGGGTCTGTATGGTCGTGAGGGGTGGAGCCCAGGGCTGGAAGTTGTAAGAGACCCCAGTCTCAGCTTAACAAAAAGAACTTTCTCTGAGTCAGATGGAAGGGGTTGCCAGGTGAGGTGTTGGAAGCAAGGTGGGGCTGCCATTTGTCAGGGATATCACATGGGGACTTCTGTGACCCAGCAGCCCTGCTGAGTAGCAGGGACAGACTTGGAGGGTCCTGGGAGAGATGGCAGAGTTGTGGCCTTTTGGGCCCTTTCCAGGATTGCTAGGAGAGATTCAGACTAAGTAGGGAGCAGAACTTCCAGGATCGTGAACGGTGGGATATGTTGGCCTTTGTTGGTGATTTGGGGCATCTGGTATCCAAGGCTGCTGGTGGTGGTCCAAGAGAGCCTGTGAGAATACTCTTGTCTGGATTCTTCTAGCAGTCCCTGGAGGGGCTATCCTGAGAGCTGTCCACAGAAGGTATTCTCACAGGCAGTGAGTTTGAAAATAAAAGAGCAATAAGATACTTGGAGCCTGTACAGATTCTACCAAGATGCTAGCAAGTGCCCAGTCCTGGTTATCAGAAGTAAACAAAGTTATTAATAGTGTCGAGATAGCCTGGTTTTCCATTACTTATATGGATATTTTCTCATGGCAAGACATTAAAATGAAATTGCCTTTGATGGCTCTGGGTCTTGTTTCCTTCTCTGCTTTGCTCCTGGTGGCCACGTTGGGGCTTCTGTCTTCGTGGCCAGGAGCATGAATGTGCTGCTCCCTCATGTCAGGCCTACTGAGGACACTCTCCCCCACTTGTTCTGTGTTTGTTCCTTAGGATGATTGAGATGGCGAAAGCCCTGCGGCTGCAGATCTCTAAAAGAAGGGTGTCTCTAGCAGCTGGCGGGGAGGAGGGTCACAAACTGGGCACTCTGTCCATCCCGCTGCCTCCAGTCCAGACCTTGGGACACCAGTCGAAGCGGAGGAGAATCACCTAGAAGCGTGCTTTCCACGTAGAGCATTTTGGCCACACCGAGCCACTGCTTCTGTTCATTTCCATTTTTATTTTTACAATAAGGAAAAAGAAGCCTTGCTCTGGCATGGGTATGAAGCCAGAAGGCAGCATCTCAAGTTGTGCTGGTCTTCAGTGGAAACATAAAGTGATGGCCATGTTGGACTTGAGCTCTCCTCTTTGGTGTTGCTGTGATTATGAGTGGCAGCTGGTTGCTGTGGGAGGGTGGGGCCTGGGGAAGTCAGAGTCTACAGATCTTACAGGCTGCACCCCATGGCAGATCCAATGGATAATTGTTAATAAAGAGAAACATGAAGTGCCATGCTTAGCCTGGAAGAGCCATCGGAGTCCGTGGTGAGGAGGACACAGCCCGGCTGGGCTGGAAGAGGACGCCTCGGGCTTGATCAGTAGCTAGCTGTGGGTCACCTGTGCCCTTGGGCTGCCGGAGGAGGCCTGTGAATCTGAGGCTGCCGTGACCGGGGAGCCAAATCCAAGGAAGTGCTTAGCCCCCCAGTCGCCCTGCCTGGCTCGGGCCACACACAGGGCAGGGAGCAGCTCCGATAGCTCATTCTTGGGAGAGAGGAAGCAGTCAGAGTGAGGGACGGAAAACACACTGTTCTAGATCTCTTTAGAAGGGGATTTCATGCATGGACAGAAAGCTGTAGAACTGTGAAAGGGCTGCGCGTGTGGGAATCAGGAGGCGGGCCCTGGAACTGCTAGGTTCAAGAGCACACAGCGGAGGCTGCTCCTCAGGCCAGGCATGGAGACGCCCCTCGTGCCCGACCCTGCTGCTTGGGTCCCTGCAGCCGGTGAGGGCGGCCAGCCCTGCTTGCAGTGCCCGCAGTTCCACTCCTTTGCTGATCAGCACAAACAGCCAAAAGTTCAAGATGCTGGCCTCCATCTTGCTTCTGTGACCATTTGACCCTTGAACAACCCAGGGTGAGGGGCGCCAAGCCCTCACACAGTCAAAAATCCATATTGCATTTTGACTCCCACCCCCCCACCAAACTTTACTGATAGCCTGCTCCCTTGTAAGCCTCACTGGTGAACAGTCAGTTAACACATACTTTGTATGTTACACAGATTATATTCTATGTTCTTACAATAGAGTAAGATAGAAAAAAAAAGATGTTAGGAAAATCTAGTACTTTATTTATTGAAAAAAAAATTCACATGTTCAGTGGGCCCACACAGTTCAAACCCATGTTGTTCAAGAGTCAACTGTAATTTCATAATTTTCTGCCAGGCACATGTATTACTTCTATAATCCGCAGGGGTAAATGGGTATTATTTAAGAAGAGAGAAGCTACTGGAGAGCACTGTTTGAGCTTCAGAGGTTGAAAGCAAGATGGTGACTCGACTATGGTTTATCTTGCAAATGCCAGACAGGTAGTGTTTTCATAAGGAATAGTGGTCTTGGGTCCATTTGCATGAGTGTATTTATAGATGTGAAAGCTTTGGGGGAAGGAAATTGATTTTTTTTCCCCTTGAACTTTTGAAATTATTCTTTCTACTCCATTTGTAATTGAGCCCATGGAGGTATTCTTATTTCTTCCTTTCTGGGGCACTGCATTAGACCTAGAACTGTTAACTGGCATACGATGTGGGTTTTGCTAAAATGACTCCCCTTGAAGTCTCCACTGGACTCTCTCGAGTGCTTAAAAAATGGGGTCCCAAGGAAGACCACCTTCTGAAATCTATCTTGCTCTTCTGCCTGGTTCACTTCACCCCCGTGCTCTGACAACCCCGGAGAACCAGTCAGAAACCAGCCCGGCATCGTTGGGATTGAGGCTCCATCAGCCCCAGGTAAGGGGCTCAGGGTGAGGCCCCGGCGCTGGGCGCTGTCTGTCGGAGAGGTTTATGTAGAGGCCGATCTGGCATCACCTTATCCTGTGGACGTAACATTAGTCTGCAGAAAAAGAGATCAGAGCTGGGTAGAATCTCTTTAAATATTAATAATAGTGATGCCTTTTGCCACACATCTCCAAAGAGCTCGGAGCATTTCAGACATTACCTCATCACTAATTTTCACGGTGTTCTTGGGTGAGAAGCGATGGCAAGTATTATGGTCTCCACTTGGGGCAGAAGGTAGCAAATGCTTCCGATAGTGGAGCTAAACTCAGGAGTGGTTCTGACCAGATACCAACTGATAAAAAGTCGAGGCCTTTTTTGTGGCATATTCTTCTACGATTGTCGTACATTTCACACACATGAACTTGCCTTCCTGCATTTTGCTCCACGGCATTAATGAGGGTCTCTGTGAGCAAGGTGCCGTGCTGAGCACTGTGTCTAGAGGCGAAGTTTATCTCCTTAGTCCTATGCTTTAGGCCTTTGGTGATGGGGCTTCTACCTGCCCGTCCTACCCTAAGTCCCTCAAACCTATTTCACATAGCCTTGGTCCCTGTGTGCTTCTTCCGGGTCTTTAAGTTAGCCTCCTGCCATCTCCCCTTCTGTGCACTTTCTGTGTCCTCCCCCCCCCCCCCCCCCAGCCCTGCAAGTGTCGCTCTCCTTCCTGGCCTGGTCCACTGCCCCACAAAGCCTGCCCTGATAACCCCCTACTGTAGCCACAGCTGGACGTGAGCTCCCATCACCAAACATTCCCAGCCCCTATGCTGGGGCCCTTATTTGGTTATTTATTATTAATTAATATCAGAGACTGTGAGAGAGGGAACACAAGCAGGGGGAGTTGGAGAGGGAAAAGCAGACTCCCCGCTGAGCAGGTAACCTGATAGGCTCGATCCCAGGACCCTGAAATCATGACCTGAGCTGAAGGCAGACGCTTAATGACTGAGCCACCCAGGTGCCCCACTACTTGGTGTTTTAGTGATTTATGTGCACTGCTCACTGACATTTCGTGACCGCAGGGATGGTCCGGTTCATCTATGTGTGTCTCTCAGTGACTTGCCCCCGTTAGATATGCAAGTATTCATCGGATAAAGGAGTGAAACTAGCATCATTCCAGGCCAGCGTTCACCAGTTTGTGCAGAGCCCTGGGGGGGCGGGGTGCAGAGGACCGGGGGCACCGATAGAACCCCGCTGGGCCTGCCCCCTGGCTGCCTACATGCCTGTCCTGTCGTCTCAGCACCCACACCCTGTTCCATCCCGTCCCCCATCCTCCGGCAGGTTGTGTGAGGCCAGGCAGGTCATTTAATCTTCCTGTGGCATCGTCCCCCCATCTGTTGAGGGGGGATAATGTGTTTGAGGGTGACCTACCTCCCCAGGAGGCCGGGAGGCTTATCCACTTAATGCCGAGCCGCTCGCTTTAACCCGAGGCAGCTGGGCACCCCCAGCAGGCCAGCCGGCACGTTCTCTGTTGCCCGCGGCCCGGCAGTAGCCGGGCTGCAGTCAGGGTCTCCTCCCTGGGCTGGTTCCGGGGGCTGAGGTGGGGCGAGGACAGTGGCATCTGGAGGGCTTCTGGGCCTGTGCTGCCGAAGGGGGAGAGGCCGGACCCCTGGGTCGGGGGCATGGCTGAGGCTGCCCAGGATCCGCCCGAGAGCGGGCGCCGGGCCCCTGGGGGACCGTCCCGCTTGGCCCTCATGGTCCCACGATGCGCTTTACTTGGGCTCGTGGACGAGCTATGGGAAGGTCATTTGATACTCCCCTTCTTGTGGCCACCGTCTTGGGAAGGTGGCCTTTTCCCTTTAAAAAGAGCTGGGAGCTGGGGGGCCCAGGAGCACTGTGGGGAGGAGGGGAGGTGCCCGTGTGGGGAAGAGGGGCCGATTGCTCTCCTTGGACGACTCCCCTCAGCTCGGCGCCACTGGTGAGTTGTGTTCTCATTCTGGAACATGTCCTGCTTTCTCTAGATGGTTCGCAGAAAGGGAGCTGGGTTTTTAAAATTGCAGCATTTTTTAAATGAAGTTTGCGATTCCAGTTAGTTAGCGTACAGTGTTGTATTAGTTTCAGGTGTACAATATAGTGATTCAGCACTTCTCTGCAGCGCCCTGTGCTCATCACGAGAAGTGCTCTCCTTAATCCCCGTCACCTGTTCCCCCATCCCCCCACCCTCTGGTAACCATCGTTTTGTTGTCTAATTAAGAGTCTGTTTCTTGGTTTCTTTTTTCCTTTGCTCATTTGTTTATTTAATTTCTTAAATTCTTAAATGTGAGTAGAATTATATGGTATTTGTCTTTCTCTGACTGATTTATTTCACTTAGCATTATACTCTGTAGCTCCATCCACATCATTGCAAGTGACAAGATTTCTTTTTTTCTGGCCAAGTAATATTCCTAATTGTCTTTTCCTGTATATTTAAAAATCTATTTCCATGGAATATTCTCGAGCACTTATTCTTGTGAAACCTCTTTAAGTGAAGGCTCTTTCAGTCTTCATAATTGCAATTATTTATTATGGGTTCTTCCCCAATTTAACTTAATTTTTTCTCATGTTTTCAGTTTCCCAACTGCAGTATCTTCAAGCATTTTCTACAGAGGTGGGATAATATTTAGTTTTGGAACTAAATTGCCAACAGGCTTTCAAATTTGTGAGATCATAGGATGTAAAACCCGACCCTGGAGATTGTTCAGGCTGAGCATCTCTGTGGCTCTGATGGGGCAGTGATGTCCTTAGAGGGCAGCGAGGGCTCTTTGGTTACCCAGCGAACCAGTGACAGAATCAGGACTCAAACCCAGGTCTCCTGACTCCTGTGTCAGTAACTCTCCAGTCTACCCTATAGGATTTAGTGTCTGAATTACAAGGGAGAAGGAAAAGTCGCGGTATGATTTTGTTTTTCCATGTGCTTTAATCTGATTAAGAATGAATTTTCTAGCTTTAGAAATGCCTGTGTCGAGGGGCACCTGGGTGGCTCAGTTGGTTAAGCATCTGCCTTTGGTTCAGGTCATGATCTCAGGGTCCTGGGATCCAGCCCCGCCCCCGGTCATGCGGTCTCTCTCAAATAAATAAAATCTTAAAAAAAAAAGAAAAAGGAATGCCTGCGTTGTAGACCACAGCTGATCCTCCTACCTTGAACCCCTTGATTCATTGCCCGTCTACAAGGAGGATCCTTAAAGTGTGGTCCCTATCAGCGTTACCTGGAGCTTGTTAGAAATGCAAAATCTGAGCCCCACCCCAACCTACAGACACATGAACTCTGGGCACAGGCCCCCCCTGTGTTGTACCAAGCTCCGCAGCTCCTCGGTAAAGTCAGAACCACCGCCTGGCAGGACTTCAATCACACCCTCCCTGTGTTTGATGTTAGTGCAGTGACCTGCTTGGCTCTTGTGGATTTTGAGCTGTCTTCACTGAAGGAGCTTCCCTGTTGCCGCCGACGCCAGTTTTTGGTGATCATCCCCCTCCTTCACTCTGCTTCCTTCCTTCTGCACAACCCATGTGCACACACACACACACATCCCGCAGGAGTGGAAGATATGGGTAGATAATGATAGCAAATAGGGGATTTCAGGAGAAACGGGTTTGTAGACCAAATGTCCCAGCCTCTGGCTAGAGTTCGTACGTTTCCAGACTTGCTCCCTCTCTAAGCGCCGTGATAAATTCGGCTGCTGCTGACCATATTGTGCTGTTTCTGCCATTTGTTGCTTTAGTCATTCAGAATTTTTAGTACCTTGTGTTTGCATGACATATGTTCAGTGTGAGGGGAAAATGTATTTGGGTTTATAGTTTATTAGGAGGTAGAGAATATGTTCAGAAATAACTTTGGGGCGCCTGGGTGGCTTAGTTGTTAAGCGTCTGCCTTCAGCTCAGGTCATGATTTCAGGGTCCCGGGATCGAGCCCCACATCGGGCTCCCTGCTCAGCAGGAAGCCTGCTTCTCCCTCTCCCACTCCCCGGCTTGTGCTCTCTCTCTCAGTTTCTCTGTCAAATAAATAAATAAAATCTTAAAAAAAAAATAACTGTAAGGCAAGCCAGCTGGGGATAAATAATGAGAATCATCTCTAGTAAAAGGTTGTGGAAGCCTGGAGATGGTGGGCAGGTGTTGTGGAAGAGGACATCATGGAAGACTTCGTGGAGGAGGTAGCGTTGGAGTGAGTCTCACAAGGAGGCAGAGGTTTGACATGAGGAGTTTGGGGGTGGGTAAAGAACACTCTGGGCAGAGGTGGGAAGAAGATAAAGGCATGGCAGTGGCTCTCAGTGCATTTTGTTGGGACCAGGGGTTATTTGAAGGTGATTAGAAGGAAATGAGGCTATTCAAGTAGGTCAGTGCCAAAAGGAGAAGGATCTTCAAACACCCACTTAGGAGTTTGTTCTTTATCCTGAAAGGCAATGGGGAGCCATTGAAGGGTTTTGAATGAGGGCAAGGCATGAGCAGAGCTGTGCTTTTAGTAAAACTAATCTGCCATCAGAGTATGAGGTAGGCTGAAGTGGGCCAAGGGGAAATGGGGAGGATCTGTTTTTATTTTGTAACTGTTTTGCAGCAGTATGTTGATACATTGAACCATCATCTTAATGTTTAATTAGGAGGTAATTGCTTTTCTTACGGTGGTCATTGGATTTTGAAATAAGCTTTTCCAGGGAAACACAGTTCTAATTTTGTAATGAGGAAACTGCAAGAAAATAGAAATTGCTTAACAGAAGGGCTTCATAGGAAACTTCCAGAACTTCTGCCTTCCTTTTCTTTTCTAACATTTTCTTTTAAACAAAAGGAATGTGTATTCATTTTACCCAGTAATGACCTGGTAATGTCAGCTCACATAAAATCTGAACAGCAAGCACCTGAAATGTAGCTCCTTCTTGCTTCTTCCTCCTCTGCCTCCAAAGCCATTCTCCCTCTCACTGGACTGACTTTGTTAAGGCACCTGAACCTCGCTCATTTCACAAGGATCTGCCTTCTTGCAGTGGTGGCTCCCCTGGGAACAGTTGTAGCAAACTGGGATGTCCTGAAGTTACAGATGTGCCAGGACTTCTAGTATTTGTCATATAGAGAAGACTCTGTTGCTGTTGATTATTTTCAGAAGGGCTGTATTTCTGGGGCCTGGGCTTTGGCTGGCTAGCACCGTTCGTTTCAGTCATCCCTCCAGTATTTATTAAATACTGAAGAATCATGGTGGCTCAGACCCCCCAGGCCCTGCTCGCAAGAATCTTCTGCTCCAGCAGGGGATATACACAAATAGTCGAATATAGTTTTGAGAGAGGGAAACTATGGACAAGTGGACAAGCCACAGAGGGAAGAGCGTACTGGCAATGACTGGCATGAGCAAAAGGGAAGAAGGTCCGTGGGGCTGGAACTCCCTGGGAGGTGGAGCGCAGGTGGATGGAGGACAGCAAAGAGGCTGGAGAGCTGAGTGGGGCCTGAACGGGGGTGGGTGGGGGGGAGGGCCTTGAAGGTCAATAAGAAGCACACATCTGTGAAAATAGCTACCTGGACGCCTGGGTGTCTCAGTTGTTAGGCGTCTGCCTTCGGCTCAGGTCATGATCCCAGGGTCCTGGGATCGAGCCCTGCATCGGGCTCCCTGCTCAGCGGGAAGCCTGCCTCTTCCTCTCCCACTCTCCCGGCTTGTGTTCCCTCTCTCGCTGTGTCTCTCTGTCAAATAAATAAGTCAAATCTTAAAAAAAAAAATCATTAAAAGAAAAAAGAAAATAATAGTTACCATTTACAGAATCCTTCTCAACAAGCACTGTTCTAAGTAGTTTCCATGCGTTAACGCAGTCCTCACAACAAGCTTGTGAGGCAGGTACTGTTGTTGTCCACATTTTTCCACTGGGGAAACTGAGGCAGCAAGGGGTTAAGGAACCTGATAGTCCTAGATCTAGTAAGTGACAGAGTGGTGATATGAACCCAGGAGGACTGGCTCCAGAGTTTGCACTGCGGACCCTAATCAATTCTCCTAAAAGTTATGGGGTGACATCATAGGGTTTGATGCAGGGTCAGATTTGCAGCCTAGAAAAACTGCTGTGGGGCACCTGGGTGGCTCAGTTGGTTAAGCAGCCGGCTCTTGGTTTCGGCTCAGGTCGGGAGCTGAGGGTCCTGGGATCGAGCCCCATATCTGGCTCCCCGCTCAGTGAGGAGTCTGCCTGAGGATTCTCTCTCTCTCTCTCTCTCCCCCCCCCCACCGCCACTCCCCCCGTTCGTGTGCTCGCTCTCTCTCAAATAAAGAAGAAAATCTTACAAAAAAGAAAAAGAGATTGTGGTGTGGAGATGGCTTGGCAGGAGACAAAGACTGAAGCAGGGAGGGCGGGTGCTGCGTGACCCACGTAAGAGCCTGGACGTGTGTGATGGCAGCGGAGGCGGAAGAGGTGGAAACGCGGGAGATGTGTGGGGGTCCCAGCAGCAGGGGCTGGAGAGTGGTTGGGTTCCGAGGCGGGTACACAGGCTCTCAGACCAACAACGCCCCAGTTCCGGGCGCGGGGAGTGGGGTGTTCATGGTGCTCCTGATGTCGGTGTGGCAGGTGCGCCCCGAGGTGGGCTGGTTCGTGGCTGTCCCAGGAGAACCGGCCAGACCCCTGAGCGCTCTGCCAGACGGAGCGTGGAGTCCGGTGCAGACCTTCCACCCCTTCCAGGTCTGCAGGCGGGAGTGGAGGGGGAAGGGGCAGGGCTGCTGGTGGGCGCGGGCTCCCCCGGGGCCCTTCCCCTGGGGGCCTGTGTTCAGTCCTCGGGGCTTTGATTCTCAGCGACAATCGCTCTGATCCTAAGACGGTTGTCATTGTGCAGTAACAGTAATCGGATCTTTTTAGAAGACGAGTCCGGTTTACTGCCCATACCCAGCATCCAGCAGATCAAAGTTGTTTTGCGTCTCCTGCCTGTCTCTGCCCAGCGTCACTTTAGTCTTGTGCCCAGAGTCTAGATACGGCTTTATCGCCTATGGTTTACACCTTACATTAAATCAACTGCCGTTCCTGGAATGTTCTACAGTTTCTTGGCTTTTTTTGAGGATTCACCTCAGAGGATGAGATGTAACTCGCCCATTCTCTGTAGTCAGTTGTCTAGTTTCTCGTCCTTCGAGATGGTGCCTCACCGAGTGCCTGTGGCCGAGACTTTTCCTCCTTTCTTAGGTAGAATTCCAGCCAGGGCAGTTTTTGTCCTTTGAGAGGGGTTTCCCCAACCGGGCACTTCCCTGTGAGGTCAGGGACCGAAGGCAGAAGGCTTCCTTAGGGCTGCATCTCTGGCTTTGGGCCCCGTGGTTGCAGTGACCTACCTCTGAGCCCAGGTGGCATTCACTGACCGTCATCAGCCCCGCTGCCAACAGCTGCCCTCCCCCAGCAGCTGATGCGACTCCCTGCGTGGTTTGCTCGAAAGTGGGTAATTGTACAGGAGGGAGAAGAGGATTCTGGGCAGAATGCTTAATCAGGGCTTAATGACGCCAGCCAGAGTGGCCTGTTGGTTTGAACCCTCACACGGGGTCCCGATTGGCAGGTGGCACCTGACGCTCTTGGATGTTTGACAGCCGTCAGCCATTCCCAAGCCCCAGGTGGTGACGTGCAGGACACACGCCGTCCCGCTGGCTGGCAGGAGCCAGCTCGTGGGCGCCCCAGAGCATTTTAGATGTCCCTGTCTCATGGGCTCCACACCCTGCCTTGTCCTGGCCAGGAGTTATTTATCTAGGGGTCCCCTGGGCTCTGTCACCCTGGGGACTGTCTGATGAACCTGTCTCCTTGACCACGGCCAGCACGAGGCTCAGCCGCAAGAGGTGCTGGATGAGTCGAAGGAAAGGCATTGATTTGGGACCCCATCCCTTGACTGGAGATGGTGAAGACCCTTCAGACTGGAGTCTGAAGACCCAGGGACTAGACTTGAACCCTGCAGAGACTGGGGCCCCCAGTCCACCGCCAGTGCCAGCTCTATGGGAGGATGAGGACTTTCAGAGAGGACTTGAGACCTGTCTGGCCAGGACAGAGCCTCATGTCCCAGGTCACAGAGGCTGGAGCTCTGTGGAGCAGGTGGGGCCCAGCTCCGGAAGCCATTGTGTTTCTGGGCTGCACTGTGGTTACTGTGTGTCGGCTGATGGATTTGGGATCCCGCCTTCCTTGGGGCAGCTGCAGGAGCCCTCGGTCTGCATTTCCCAGGCACGGCACTTGCTGTGGGTTTCGTCTTGGGGGCCTGTGCTAGCAAATATGCCCAGAAACCCCTGAAAGTTAGTTGGCGTGTCCTCACACTTGATGACTAAGTGGATAGTAAAAGACAAGTCTGGGCTTTGAGTTTAGGTTCCACCTTTTTGTGAGTTACGTCCAGGTGGTTGTCAAGAGAATTTTTCTTAACCAGAGGAGGGCATTTGCAAAAACCAAGTCTATAGGGAGAGAAGGAACTTCATACTGAATGTCAAGGGCACGCTAAGGACCGTGGGATCTGGTGGTGTCCAAGCTGGAAAGGCCCTCCCTGCTTCAAGGCCACCCTGAATCCTCTGTGGCTGTGGGCAGCAGGGGACAGCAGGGGACTTGTTATCACCAGAGTCCCAGTGGTCAAGTCCATGGCCCCTCTCAGGGTGGATCTTTTGGCTGTCTTGGCTGTGTTTGGCATGGGTTGCTCACATATTCTTTTGGTAAAATATATACACACAAACTTTACCTTCAAAAAACCATTAAAAATGCACCATTCAGTGGCATGAAGTACGTCCACAATGTTGTGCCACCATCACCACAATCTAGTTCCTGAACTTTTTCAGCTCCCCAAAAGGAAACCATGTACCCATTAAACAGAAACACCCTGTTCAGTCCTCCCCTGAGTCCCTGGCAGCCAGTCATCTGTGTTCTGTCTCTGTGGACTTACCTGGATATTTCATGTAAATGGAATCACACATCATGTTGCCCTCTGTGTGGGGCTTCTTCCACTTAGCATAAGTGTTTGAGGCTCATCTTTGCACGTGACCGTACACCTGACCCTTGAACAACGAGGGAGTTAGGGGTGCCCACCCCCCGTGTAGTCAAGAATCCGACACCTCCCAAACTTCTCATAGCCTACTGTTGACTCGAAGCCCAAACAGCTGATGAACACATATCTTGTATGTTCTATGTATTATATAGTGTATTCTTAAAATAAAGCTAGAGAAAAAATGTTATCAAGAAAATCATATTGGGCGCCTGGGTGGCTCAGTCATTAAGCATCTGCCTTCGGCTCAGGTCATGACCCCAGGGTCCTGGGATCGAGCCCTGCATCGGGCTCCCTGCTCAGCGGGAAGCCTGCTTCTCCCTCTCCCACTCCCCCTGCTTGTGTTCCCTCTCTCGCTGTGTCTCTCTCTGTCAAATAAATAAAATCTTAAAAAAAAAAAAAAAAGAAAATCATATTAAAGTACAATACTGCACTATATTTATTGAAAAAACCATGTATGAGTGGACCCGTGCAGCTCAAACTCAGGTTGTTCGAGGCTCAACTGTACACATGTAGGAACCTGATTTGCACCTAGAACCCTAGCAGCAAGGGAGGCTGGAAATCAGTATCAGTTCTCCAGCCTCTAGTTGCAGGAAGGCCCCCCTAGGAGATGGGAGTGGATGCTGACCGTCACCCAACCTTACCTGCCACGGGGCGACAGGGAAGTCAGTGTCTGGAGGGGCGCTGTGTGGAGCAGGAACAAGACCTGGAGAGACAGGTGTGGGGCCAGCGCTCAGAGTTAGATCTCAGGGTGCTTTTGAGGCAGTGGGAGTGGCTGAGGTCTGTGGTCCTCAGCACTGGGGAGGCGGGACCAGGGCAGGAGGGAAGGTAAAATTCAGTTCTCTCTGAAAATGCGACGGGGGGAAGTCCACTCAGCAGCTGGGCCCACCGTAAAGGAAGACATGGTGGAAATGAGGCTTGGGAGGACTCATTTGGGACAGGTCGTCCTCGTATGTCTTCGTGCTCTGGGCCGTGGGCCTGCCTGCCGCGCGTGTTTTCGGGCTGTGCTCTGGTGTGTCCCGTTTGTGTCCGATCCTGGGTAGTGGCATCAATACCTCCTTTGTCCGCCTCCAGCAGAGGTGTGAGCAGGACCTCGAAATACCTCGTTTTCCTTTAAGCTGCTGTGAAAATCCAGTATGTGAGTCTGCATCTGAAAAGAGAGTATCCTGATCTGCCTCTGGGAAGAGAGCTCCTGGTGGGCTCATAGGGTAGAATGTGTTTCCACGAACACTTTTAGATTCTGATGGGTGTGACACTGTGAGACTTCAGTTCCAGGGATGTTCGCATCACAGCATGTGCGCAGGACTCTGAACCCCCTCTGTGCTGGTGGGGAGGCGGCCTGTCTTCAGACCCTCACACGGAGGTGCGGGACTGACGGGCAAACGTCCAGGACAGCAAATAAATCCTAGTGTGGGCCGACCACAGGTGTACCTTGCCAAATGCAGGGGGTGCGTTCTCAGGGGACGACTGAAAAGCACGTTTCTGTACATCAAGAGGTTTGTGGATCCACTTGAATAAGTCTTACAAGAGGGAACCTAGCCCCGTGCTTTCCATATAAGCAGTTGGTGTCTGTTGAATGAGTCCTAGTCCGTGAACTGCACCTTCTTTCCACAGCCGGGATGTCAGGCAGTCAACACTTGTGGAACAATGGAATCGTACTAGCTTTTTTTCCGAGCTCTAAAAAAACCACTTATTTACTAATACATTCACAGAAGATACCTTGATCCCACAACATTTTTTGCTGTAATGTCTCCTGATGTCCTTTTTGAAGAAAGGGAGACTGTGGGCTACATGCTTGTACCTTTAGTAAGATTTTGAGTTTGTGGGATCATCTCAACTTCTGGGTGTTGATTAGCAGAATGAGTCTGTTCCCTGGAGGGAAGTCTCCGCCTGTGGCCCGGACCCACTGGACGCTGTTAGCAGTGATGAGGTCAGAGAAATTATATTTAATACGCTTACAGGGGACCCCGACCTGGAAAAAGCTAATTAGATAAAATTCTTCAAAGTGTCCCCTTTTAAAAACTTTTATTTTTACATAATGTCCTAATTAGAAAACAGTTGCAAGAATGGTACAAAAACCTGTATATCTTTTACCCAGATTTTCCCACTATTGATATGTTGTCCCATTTATTATTTGCTTTATACATTTATGTATTTATTTTTGAGCCATTTGAGAAAATTTGAGAGTAGCATCCTACCCTTTTCCCTGTCAGAACTGCAGTGTGTGTGTCTTAAGAACAAGGACTTTCTCTTCCATGACCATGGCACCTTCATCAATAGCAGGAAACAGAACAATGATACCATAGAAGCGCCTAACCCGCAGCTCGTCTTCAGATCTTGCCCATCACACTTCTCTTGTTTAACCTCTCGAAACAGTTCCTTGGCCTTTGCTTTCTTGACCTTGTTGTTTTGAAGAGTAAGGTCAGTTACCGTGTGGGGTGTCCCTCAAGTTGGGTTTGTCTGGGGTTTCCTTGTGTTTAGATTCAGGAAAATCAGACATGATGCTGTGTTCCAAGAGCATCACGGTGGAGGCATGTGATGTTTGTCCTATACTTGTGATGTTAACTTTTACTACTTGGTTAGGTTGTGTTCGCTCCCTCATGAAGTCACCTGAGTTTTAGCCTCATTGAGGATTCTTGGTGAATCAATTACCAAGATGGCTGCAAAATGATTTTCTAACCCTATCATTTCTTATGCAGAGGAAGCCCTCTTTTCTCTCCTGTTAATATAGTTTTCATTCATTTAGTGATAGGATAGACTTGCAGATTCTCATTTTATTCTATGAACATTGGTACTATTATTTATTTTGATGTTCAGATTGTACCACATTTGGCCAATCTTAGTTCCTTCACTAGCTCCTGTATCCCCGTCATTTTAAGGGTGCTTCCTTTCTGTCCCAAGATGTTCCAGCCATCTTGTACTTTCCCTGCTGTAGCCCTAGAATCAGCCTTTTATCCAAGGAGCCCAAATAGATGACATAAACGATGGGCCAAAACCAGGAGTGAAACACCATCCTGACAATTAGACAGGATCTTTAGCTGTGCTCAGGCAAGAACTATGTTCCAAGCAGATGTTGACAGCTGTGTTGTGAGTTGCTCAGACTGCACCAGGAGGGCCATGCTAGGGTCGACTTCACTTAAAAAGGATGCTAATCATGGTAGATTGGTTCTGGAGCCCCATGGCCATAACTGCACCATGCAAAATTCTGGACAAGGGAGAAAGAGCTAATGGAATGAGCATGTTCAAGTTGGGAGAAACTGCTTAGGGCTGGAACAAGCCCATCAGGTCCCATGGGAGCCTACCATGAGCCATTTAGAGAGGAGGCTTTCTTTGTGTTGTTGGAAGGAATGGGCCCCAGGCTGCTGAGGACCAGGTAGGATCATATGCTGTTCTAAGACACAATGCTGGCTTGTGTCTGGTCTGGCCACACCATCCATATCCACCATTCCCTGTACTCAGGACCTCCTCAGGATACCCGGGCAGTGGCCTCAACAGAATTTGGAGACCCGGATGAAGCTGTGTTGGTCTTTGTTGTGCTTGTACACTTGCATCAGTAGGCATCAATGTTTGGGGCCTGACTGGCCAGCAGGAAAGGCCAGGGAGGCCACAGTTTAAGCTGTTTGGGTGGGGGGGCCGCTGAGACCTGTTGCACGCTGTACCAGGGTTAAGCCTTCGCCTTGTGACAACCCAGTAGAGGGGAACCCTTAGCTACCGCAGTTTGAAAAGCAAGGGACCCAAGATGTATAATTGCTACCCAGAGAGCTGGGAGATCCTTCCTAAGATACGGGACAGGACCCCTCCACTGTGCCTTTGGGCTCCCCCTGACACAAACCACTGGAGTGGGTCCCGAGCAATGACCAGGGGGGTGAGATGGTCTGCAAAGTGGAACGTACGAGAGGAGGCCAGGAGCAGGACGGCCCCCACAGGCAAACGGCTGCTGTCTGCAAATCTCTGGAGGGTTGTCACAGGAAAGATGTGTCCTTCAGGGGCTCCAGAAGGCAGGGATGCTAGGAGTGGGGGTGGGTTTGTTTCTTCATCCATCTACCCATGCATCCAACACTTAGTGATCTTGGTCTGGTTGGGCATAGAGGATCAATAGGGCCGGATTTCACAGGGCATGGGGTAGAGGATCAGACAAATCAACAGATTTTTGCAATATGAAGGGTTCAGTGCCATCATGGGGTAACACGGAGGGGACTACTGAGATTTGAGGGAATCAGGAAAGATGTTCTATGAAGTGATAATGAAGATCCTGAAGTATGGGTAGGATTTAGCCAGAGAGATAGATTTTGGCTCCCTTGAGGGGAAAAACAAAAATCAGAACAGGTTCTCTCAGGCAGGCGGGCAGGTCTGGCCTGCTGTGTGGGACGGCTAGCCCTGCCCACTCATGCAGGCTGCTGCAGGGCAGGCTCCGCCCCCCCCCCCCCCCCAAGAGCAAGGATGGGTGTCCCACCGCCAAGTGACTTGGCAGGAGACGGGCACCGTGTGTGTCTCTGCTGTTCCTTTTTTTGCTGCCAAAGCTTTAGCTAACAGCCTTATCCACCCCTCTCCTGCCTACAGGCTCTGAACAGTGAACTTTCATCTGCTGGGCCTTAACAAGCATCACTATTCAGAGCCTCAATTCCTTCTGTAAAAAAACAGGGCAGTGACCCCACCAAGTCAGTATTTGGCATACTGCTGACGGAACATAAGACCATGTCAGTGTATCAAAATACACAAGGTTTTGCTGGTTAGGATAAACTGCAGTAACATATTTTCCCCAAATGTCTGCTTTCCACAAAGGTTTATTTGCTTGTGGTATTATATTTTCATTTTAATAGTTTTAGATGTGTATTAGAAAACACTAACTTTGTATTTAATAGTGACGTAAACATTTTTTAGTTCTGCAAAATTAAATGTCTCGGCTACGATTCTGGAAGGGAAAAGGACATTGGGGAACAGTTCTTTAACTTCAGGTAATAATGAGTTCATATCGGTTGATTCTGACAGATGCACCACACGCAGACTGGTATAGCCGGGAAGCACAGGGACTCTGCTCACTTGTTCTGTAAATCTAAAACTCTTCTAAAAATAATTAATTTAAAAAGAGGATTTGAAGAAAAGTACTAAGTACTACCTTTCTCCTCAGGTGGCATGCAGATACAGGAAAAACGAGTTCATGATCTCAGAACGTTCTGCACACTGTGAAGTCCTCTCCTCCAGGTACTGTTACTGCTCATCCCCACACAGCCCACCGCGGTGGGGCGGCTGCACGCAGCCATCCAGACCCTGGGACCCAGAAGCATGGGAACGAGCTGAATGGACACGCCAGTCTGGGCCTCTGTCTCCTTCAGCCTCGGGAAGGCCGAGCAGGCGCCTGCACCCGGCCGCCCGGGAGCTCTAGCATGTACCCAGGCCAAGAAAGTCCTCCAAGAGGGCTTCTTTTAAAAGATAGAACTTTATTTTGGTTGCAGAGATTTTCATGAGCATTTGGTTCACAGAAGAGTCACTACAAAATAACAAAGGCAGCATTTTGTACAGCGACGCCCACTGGGGCCACCAGAGAAGTGCAAAAGACAGTGCTGGGGACGGGAGGGGCCAGTGCTCATGTGCCCACAGTCCTGGGGAGAAGCCAGTGCTCCTGGCTCCCTCCAGCCACCCCCTCCACCCAGCCCAGGAGAGCAGCACCTAGGGCCTGGCAGAACCAGCCTGGGAAGCCACTGGTAAGGTGCACAACAGCGCCCCCAACAGGCTGGTGAAGGCCCCGCATGAAAAGCCGAGTGGGAGGGGGAGTGTTCCGGCTGAGCCAGTCCTGCATTCAGCCCCGTCCTCAAGCAGGTGGGATCTGTGCCCACCTGGCTCTGGAACCTTGACACATTCACAGTACGGTACAGTAAAGCCCTTTGGGAGGCCTTCCTCCCCTCACTCAGGCTACTGACCCTATCCCAACCCTGGACTAGGAACTGGGGACAGACTGGGAGAGCTGGTCCTACCGTCCGGGAGCTCACAGGCAGGTGAGTGGGACAGGAATGGACCTAGAAAACTCCAAAGCAAGGCAGAAAGTGCTCAGTACCTGAGAGGGGGCAGAGAAAGGGCAGCAGAGCCTCAGAGGGGGAAGAGCATGGTCACTGCAGGGACGGGAGCTCTGTGGAGAAGGCAGTGTCTCAGCTAAACCTCAAAGACTAGGTGGGACGTGACATGTGCAGATGGCGAGAAGGGCATGCCAGGAGGAGGTCAGAGCGTGGGCCAAGGCACAGAGTGGGGAACCGTGGTCGGGTCAGTAAAGGCAGGCAGTTATCCATGAGAGAACACGGATACAGACAAGGGGACCTGGGCACCTCCATCTCCACCAGTCTGGTGCCCAGGAGGGGCAGCTGGTGGGGGTGTGCGCAGGACCCGAACCCTTGCGCGGCAGGCCCCGAGCCTGCATCCTCCTGAGTTTGGGAACTCCCTGAGGGCGGAGTGGAGTCTCGTGCATCCTTGCCTTGCCCAACCTGGCACCAGGCTGCTCAAAGGAGGCCTGTGTTTTCAGCATGTCCCTTGTCATCCCTGAGGCAGCCTGTCCAGAGAGGCTCTCTGTTCCCCTCACAGTCCACGTTCAAGTTGAAGGGAACCAAACTCAACTCCTCCAGCCTCTGTAGACAGCCGGGAGGGTGTGGCCGCATCCCTGCAGGGATCGAGAGAGGCCCAAGAAAGGGGAAAATTCTGGGGCTCTTTCTACCTCACTAGAATCACCTCCTCCCTCAGGAGTCAGTCTGCTCTTCTCTGACTAGAGTCCGGGTTTGGTGTGTGTAAAACACCACTTCCCTGTCATTCACACAGAAAGACCTGACTGAAGTTTTAGTATCAATTTTCCCCAACTCCATAACCTCTATAAGAGCTTGAGTGACAGGAAGCCCACCAATCTTTTTTTTTTTTCTCAGTTCCCAGGAAGCGTGGAAGCCTGTTTTCTCTGGGGTACGGTGAGTAGGAGGACCGAGAGGGGCCTAGAGCCCCTCAGATGCCGCTTCTTCCATCCTGACATTGCCTTTACCTCCTGGCTCACCTGAACACCCACGAGCCTGAGTGCAGGGTATGGGGTTGCTGCTCCCGGAGTCTGGACAGCCCTCCAGCCACCCCACCCCGCGGCTCCCATCCTTACAGAATGGTGCAGAAGACGCTGCGGTTGCTGTGGTAACCACCCTCCACGCGGGCTGTGATCCTCGTTGCCATGGCTGTCACCTTCTGCCCACTGTGGGCTGCAGAGGGGCCTCGGAGACAGCTTTCAAGGTGAGGCCGTGCCGGTGGGTTCACCAGGCGCCACGTATCAGATCTGGGGGTGCAAAATGACGGTCCATGAACTGAGAGTCTGGAGCTTTTGCTGAATGCCCCGCACAATTTCCTTTGGTTCAGGATCACTGGATCCAGGTGTAGGTTTTTGCCTCCCAAGTCCATGAAAGCTCAAGGAGGTGGGACACATAAGGGACAAAAGTCCTGTATTCTAGTTCAGCTACACTTGCAATTCTGCATGTAACCTTGGACCAGTTCCCTCTAGAAGCCTCAACTTCCCCATCTCTATAAGGATCTGGAGAACATCAGTGACTTTTTCTTCTCTTTCATCCCCTCCCCTCCCAGGTGTATGACATCCATGTGTATAGAAGCTTTATTCATAACCACCCCAAACTAGAAACTACTTACCCCTTCAGCTGATGAACGGATAAACAGTGTGGTACATCCATATAAGGGAACACTACTCCGCAACAAAAAGAATGAATGGCATGTGACACCATGGGCAAATCTCAGGTATACTAGGCTAAGTGAGAGAAGCCAGACTGGGAAGACTACATACTGTACAATTTCTTTTTTTATATGACATTCTGGAAACTGCAAATCTGTAGGGGACAGAAGCTGGTGAGTTTCCAGTCCCTCGAGTTCTTATGGAGACTATGAAGGGTCAGGGAAAGGTTCGTTCAGCGTTTTCTGTCATTTGAGTTACAAGGAACCACCTCTTAACACCAAATCCTAAATTGCTTAAGCCAGTGACAATGTCTTCTGTGTCTTTTTAGGATGATTATGTTACAATGAGTAGGACTGTAAAGGTGTGGATAGTTAGAAGCTGGCTACTGTAAGGTGAGTGAGAAGCCTGGAGGTATGTTCAAAGAATTGCCAGCATTTGAATTTGGCAGCAGAGAGTGAGCCTGGAAAGGAAAATTAGGACCCAGCAGTGCACGGTGGATAATGCCAGGCTGATGGGTCTGCGATTCCTGTATTCTGAGGTCTCCAGGGGGGCAGGAGGAAGCAGACCCCAGGGAGTCCACAACATGATTGCCAAGATGTAGGTAGGAAAGATTGTAATTTCTATTTTTTTAAGCTTTGTAAGTTATGAATATACAAAACATGCATATATGAGGTTTTCTCAATTAAAAAGGGAAAAGAGAAACAGGGGCTCCATCAGAGGTTTCTGACCATGGACGTGAAGGACCAGAGCTGATTCAGATTAATCTGGCAGGATGCATTAGGACAGCCTGCAGGGGTGGGGCAGGGACACAAGGTAGGAGGCTGCCGCCATAGGACAGAGCTGTTTGCGGTGCAGGAGTGAGTAATGCCAACAGCAATGACAGTATGATCATCACCTTCCTAACCAGTGAGCAGAGCACCAAGCAAGCAGAACGGAGTCCATCCACAGACCAGTGCACCAGCATCCTGGCAGTGGGGCCACAGGTCGGGGTGAGGGGTGCTGAGACGTGAACAGGGGTGATGGCGGCTGGGAAGAGAAGGGGTCAGAATCGAGAAGGCCTAGTAACTGACTGAACTGTGATGTTCGGGGGAAGTTGGTCGCAGAGGTTTTGCTGCCACAACAGAGTGGAGGGATGGTGAGGTCACCGAAATGGGGGACAGGGAAGGACAGGAAGGTTTGGGGCAGAAGTGTGTGAAGCCACTGTGGTAGGCAGAGGCATTAAGAGCAAGTGACAGCCGCAGCACCAGCAGTTAACACTTTGGGAATACCAGTCTGCTAGGTCACGTGACCTGGTTTTATCCCAAATTGGTGCTACAATGCAGACCTCGGTAACTGGGTTTTATTAAGGCTCCAGGTGGTGAGTAACCTGCCCGAGGTTCCACAGCCAGTGACTGGCAGAGCTGAGATCTGCAGTCACACACCCTGGACTCTTAAAGCCTGTTCCCTCCCAGGGGGGCGGGCGCAGGGCCTCAGCACTGGCCTGAATGACCTGACCAGGGCCGAGAGCTGGCGGCACCGGGGGGAACAAGGGCAGCCACGGTCACTGGGCCTGGCTTCTCCGGTGACCTCACTGTGGTTCTGGGAGATTGGTGTAGGCAGACTGCAGACACTTACTTTTTCTTGAACACCAGGAACTTATTGTTTTGCAGGACACATTCTCGGTTGTTGGAGATCTGCTGAAAAATGGTCTTGCTGGTCTTGCCCTGGAAGATGATGTTCTCCTGCACCAGGGCCTTGGCGCGGCCCCGCACTGCAATGCCGTAGGCCCGGAATGAATGGATCCGGTTCTTTATTACCTGGGAGAGACCGTCAGAGCTTGTCGTACCTCGGGGACTCCCAGACTGGTGGGGGGGGGCAGGTAAGGGACATAGCTGTTATAAAATGGAGGGGTAAGAGCGTGCTCAGTAGGGCAGCATTGCACCCTGGGAGCTCAGGGAAGGGTGTTCGAGATCAGGTGGGGAGAACCAGGGAAGGCTTCCCAAAGGGGATGATGGGTAAGCTGTAGGAGCTTACCAGATGCAGAGCAGGGGACGGCTGTTCCAGGAAGAAGGAACAACATGCAAAGGCCTGACACGAGAGGAGGTTGCACCAGAAGCAAGGACCATTGGCAGCTTGACTGAGGCAACAGCGTGTCCCCCCCGCCCCCCTTCCTCTGCTTCCACAGTATTCAGATGTAGAGCTAAAGAATTCTTTACTGCTTGCCTAAGTTACACTACTCATGAAGCTGGAGAACCAGAGAAAGGCTTTGGGATGGTAATTTCACAAGTGCAGGGACTGGGTCCGACGCTGAAACCCTAGCACCCAAGCGCAGTGCTTTGCAGCAAAAGGGAGCGGAGAGCTCACTTCTGGGGGAGACAGAGAGGCAGAGGAGCAGATGCAAAGCACTGTGGGAAGTGCTCTGTGAGGTAGGGATGGGCATAAGCACCCCGATGTCCAGAAAAGGGTATCTCAGACAGCCTGGGGGGCCGGGGGAGGCTTCCTGAAGAGGCACAGAAAGGGGAGAAGGGTATGCTGGATATACAGGGAATAGTGTGCACACAGGCCCTCCTCATTAAGCACCTACTGCATACTAGGTCCTGTGGGAGACTGTTCTGTTAGCGGGAGGGCTGAAAGAGCCCTGAGCTTGACCTGGAGACCAGAAAGCTACCCCCAGAGCCACCCCCACCCTGGCTCTCTGCTGGTAACTCCTGCCCCTCCTTCAGGGCTCAGTTCATTGCCCCTCCCATGGGAAGCCCCACCTGCGTCTCCCCGGCTCGGTTTGGGCAGGAGGAATGCTGTCCCTTGTGGTGCTGAGTGCTTCGGGCTTCTCAGTGGTGAGAGTACGAGGGCTGTCCCAGGGCTGAGCCCGGTGCTGGCACCACGCGTCACACACACGTACATACCTTCGTGTCGGACCTGGGCAAGAGCTGCAGCCCGCTGCCCCGGTTGCCAATGATGTCATTTTCGATGACGACGGTGCTGTCGCCCTTGGTGATGATGCCATGGCCTCTGTTGTCATAGATACCATTGCCCCGGAGCTCCACCTTGCACTGGGCCTCGACCTTGACCCCACTCTGGCGGTTGCAGGAGATACTGTTGTTGACCACGCGGGTGAGCTGGCTGCTCTGGGCCACGGTGATCCCTCTGTCCCCATTAGCGTGGATCACATTGGTGAGGACGTGCAGCGCCTCACTGCTCTGGACGTAGAGGCCTGAGGCTAGGGGTGGAGAGGTTGGGGAGCAGGGTCAGCCCTGACAACACAGTCAGGAAAAAACCTCCATGGAATTGTGCACCCGGCAGAGAGGTGGGGAAGAGGCAGCCGCACTCAGAACCGGCCCCTGGGAGTTACATCTTTCAAGATGGATGACAAACCAGGAATATCAAGGAAACTCTGTTCCTTCTGAACTTAAGTGCTCGGTAAACAGGGAAAGGTGATGCGAGACTCCTCGGGCTCAGTGGCTCCTGAGACCCAGGCTCTCCTCCCGTGTTGCCAGCCCACTGCTGTGTGCGCCTCCTGTGACGGGGCGCTCACCACCTGTCACGGCTGCCATTCCACCTCCACACAGAGCTACCAGCTGGACGGCTGCTCCAGTTATCTTCCCGTACCGAGCTGGAATCTACCTCTCTATTGTTTTGGGATATTTTCTTCACAAGGGAAATTCTGTAATTTTTGAATAGAAAAATTTATAAGCTAAAGATCTAAAATGTGTTAGAAATTTTGGAAAGAGAATGGTGTTTGGGGTTGTATCTGCTTAGAGACACTATATGCTTTTAGAAAAAAAGCGTAAAACTTAGCAGGCTTAGAGCCCCATGACTTGGCCAGGAAGAGACGGGGGCAGGGGGGGCAGGGGGGCCTGGGGATGAAGAGGAGAGGACTCCCCAGTGGTGTCCTCCACCCACCCCAAGAGCAAGAGACCTCGGCAGCGCTGGGAGGAGGCGGTGTGGAGGACAACATGGGGTCACATGGGAGCCATGAGCCTGCAAGTTCCAACCTCTTGGTGCCACCTACCTGCTGCTTCTCCTGGCCTCTGTGAATTTATGGGGCTTTGCCTGTCCTCCAGACAGCAGGGCCACACGGAGAAAGCCCTGAACTGGGAGGGGACAGAACTCATTTTCTGTCAGCTCCCACTCTCCCTGCCCTCTGCTATTCCCAGGGCAAGAGCTCGCCAGTGCCCAGAAGCCTCCTTTTAACAAGACTGCCTCCATCAGCCCGCCACAGTGGTCCTGATGATCAGCCAGGTTTGGGAGCCCTGCAGTTAGATCAACTCTGTACGTTTCTTTTTTTCCCTCAATTCAATAAACACTGGAATGTCTATCAGTTTTTATCCAGTTTAAGATAACTTGTGGATTTAAAACACACTTATTCTTTGTATAAGAAAGAAAAATTGCCAATTAAACCATGACATGCCATCAACTGCAAATGCGTGTCCTTAGATGTTAAAATGTGGACAATGTGTCTCAGAATGGATTAGGAATGTGTATGCCGGGGGTGCCTGGGCGGCTCAGATGGTTAGGCCCCTGCCTTCGGCTCAGGTTGTGATCCCAGGGTCCTGGGATCGAGTCCCACATCCGGCTCCCTGCTCAGCAGAGAGCTTGCTTCTCGCTCTGCACCTCCCCCTGCTCATGCTCTATCAAATGAATAATAATAATAAAAAAAAAATGTGTATGACAGGTGTGGGATTTGGTGGGGCAGGGGTGCCGACAGGAGTGGGGTTCGGCTCCTTGCCTCACGTTCATAGCCTATCAGAGTTGATGAAACAGCCAGAGAAACAGATCCCGTCCCAGGCCCTGTAAGTGCCAGTGGGGTGAGAAGGTAAGGACGGAGGGCACAGTCACAGTGGGCTCTGAACTTCAAGTTGTTTGGGATGTGTGGATGGGGAAAGGGAATTTCAGGCAAGAGAAACAGCATGAGCTAGGCGGGGCTGAGGGGCAGGACAGAACGGATTTAAGTTCAGGGAAGATGATGTCCAGAGGTCTGGGGTATCGGGTGTGTGGCCAAAAGAAGTGGCCAACAAAGTGAGAAGGGTGCCTCCCAAGGCAGGCAGTGTGAGCACGGAAGGCTCTGGAGCAGGGAGACACTCACCTCCATTGTGATTAATACTGTTAGACTCAACAAGAGCTATGGTGACGGGCCGACGCAATGGGTCGTCGTCCTTTTCCAGTTCGGTCTCCCAAAGGATGGCATCTCCGTCCTCGCTGAAGTTCTCCTGGGCCCCATGACCTCCAGGGAACTCCCCAGAACCGTCCTTCTGGCTAAACACTGCCACTCCGTACAGGCCATTGTAGCTGACATGGTTGCTGGTGACGTGAGGCAGGCTGGACGACATCATCCACACACCACAGCCCTTATTAGCTGGGACAGGGAAAGGAGCTGTCATGGACACTGAGCAGTGGGTGAGGCAGCACCCAGTGTCTCCCCAGGAGGGGAAGCAAAGATGGAACTGGCCTGGGAGACAGAGGCCCTGGTGTGCTAACGGCCTCGGACAAGTCCTTTATGGCTGGAGGCTTCTCCTCCGTACAAGAGGGATACCAGTCAGGTCAGTCTCACAACCAGGATCATTCCATAGGGTGTAAAAGTGCTCTGAGAACTGTGAAGGTCACACTTCCAGGTCGGAAGCACACAAGCCCAGAGGGACAGCACTAAGGGGTCCTCAGAGTTCATCCAGCCCAACCCCGTCCTGCAGAGAGATGGAAGTGGCCTCCGTCTGAGTCCCAGCCCTACTACTTCCTAGCTATGTGACCTTGAGCGGGTTACTGAACTTCTCTGTGTCTCAGTTTTCTCATCTTTAAAATGGGGTCAATAACCATATCTACCTCAGAAGGCAGTCATGAAGATGGGATAAAGCATATAAAGCACCTACAAAGAACACGTTAGCTGCTATTATTATTATTATTATTAGAGATGCAGTCCAGAGAGTAAGGCTTTGCTCAAAGTCACAGCAGGAGTGAGAACAGTTTCCTTTCTAGGGCTACCCTAGTTCTCCCATTAGATTTCTAGTTCTTTGGATCAGAAGAAAGGGTAAGAGTTAGATACCCACGTGTCAGAGCCTGAATGGCCCTGTCCTTACACAACTCCCGCCTTCTGCTATTTTAAATGGGGATGAAGCTCTCTGCTTTGCTGACCCTGTGGGTTACAAGGGGACTTAGGAAACGCTTCTGTATTCAGAGAGGGGCCGTGTGTCTGTGGCCTGAGACTGATGCTGTTCTTCAGGGCGCCTTTGAGGCCCAGGGACAGGCAGTGACTTTCTCAGGACCCACCAGCTAGAGATGGAACCTGGGCTTCCTGCCTCCCTGGTGGGGCTAGATCCCAGACCCCTTCCCCCAGGAACATGCGCCTCACCATAGATGGTGTTTCCTTCTATCAGTCCTTTGCCTTCATCCCCCACGACCACACCGTCTGAGTAGCCAAAGCAGATAAGGTTGCTCCTGAGGACCGGGACGCCTCCACGGCGGATGTCTACACCTCCCCACTGATTTTCACGGATGACGTTTTCTATGGAGAGGCAGAAGAGAGGGTCAAGACCCAAGGGCCACCCACACTGGCCATGAGGACTGGGACACCTGAGAGAAAGGACCCTCTGGACCAGGACACCCAGGCTACACCCTGTCAGCAGTCAGCATCCCAAATCTTGCCTGGTGTTTGACTTTTCAGGGACCTGAGTGCTGTTGGCTTTCCTCAAGGGCAAGGTTTGTATCTATCTTGTGCTCTCTCATATCTCTAGGATCCATTGTATCCAGTGGCCTTCAGGACCAATGACTAAGAATGAACTGCTTTAGAGTCCCTGGACCAAGGCCAGGTAGGGTTGCCTGTCCTGGGGGCTGTTTCTGGGAGGGCTGAGGCAGAATCCAGCCATTTCCCCCACCCGCCTGGGGAGGCACAAGCTGGTCCCTGTCAGCCTCAGCTCTGGACTGACCACAGCCTTCCTCTCCCCATCCATCCCTCTCTGGGAATGGAACGAAGAGTCCTAAGGGGGGTTTGTGCTGGGACCTTGATGCCCCCGGCACCATGGCCAGGCAGACTCTCAGGCTCTTGGGACTGGAGTGCAGTGGCCCAGGGGACCCTGTGTGACTGGTCCCTTCCTGCCCCTGTGACCACATCCCACCCCTTGCCCCCCTTCACCATACCCAGTCACGTGAGCGATCTCCCTGCTCCCCAGGCATGCCGATGGTGTTCCACATGCAGCCCTGCAGGGAATTCTGGTTCTCTTCCGAGGCTTTGTCCTGTCACTCAGGTCTGGCTTACATGTCACCTTCTCAGAAAGGCCTGCCCTGACCACACAATCTTAAATACCCACACAGTCCCTCTATAACCTTATTTTAATATAATAAATTATATTATGTACAGTTTACATATTTTATATTTATATATATCAAGTACATATATATTTATGTAAGTAAAGTTAATATATAATTATTTAATCTCTAGAGCACGTATCACCCAGATACATTTCTTTCATGTGTATGTGCGTGTGTGTGTGCTTTTGCTTGTTTTCCCCTCCTAAAATGTCAGTTCCCGACAGCAGGAACCCAAGGGCAGCTGTTTCACACATCTGTTTTGCATGCCGTATCCCCAGCTCCTGCATACAGTGTGTGCTCAATAAATGTCTGATGAATGAAGGAGAGCTGGTTCAGTCACAGGGACTCACTGGGCCAATCTCTTATGTCCCAGGTATGGCTGTGCTCTGTGCTGAGGCCACACTCAGGTAGCACGTAGACTTGGTTCTGGCCTTAGAGAACTTGCTGCCTTACAGTAGAGGAGACTGCCCTTACACAGATCACTAAGAAAACAAGATGTCCTAGAGCGTGCCCGCTGGGTACTGTGAGTGTCTGAGTGCACAGTGGGAGGTCAGGGCAGGCTTCCCTGAGGAAGGGACATTTAGGCTGAGACCTGAAGGATGGGCAGGAGCTGGCCAGGCAGGGGGGAAATGGGGATACATTTCCAGAGCGGGCACAAGCCCATACAAAAGACAAGAGGAGGGATTCGGTCTGTGTGCCATAAATGTTTCTGACAGTGTTATGTGAGCCATCCAGGGAGCTCCTGTAAGCAGCAAGTCTGACAAAGAGCAGACAGACACTCCCTCCTTCTCAGGCCCTCCTTGTGACAAGCAGGGCCAGTGCATGGGGCCGGAGTCCCAGAGTGCTGGCCTACTATTCAGAGGAGGAGGCCAGTCTGTCAAGGTGAAGGACTGGCAGGGGGCAAGGCCAGGGACGTTGGCTTGGCTGCTGGTTGCTCAGTTGGCCATGGCCCTAGGCAGTTCCCACTCCTACCTGTGATGAGGCCTTTGCCGTTCTCATTCACTGCTATGCCGGCTGCACGACCCTTGAAAATGTGGTTCCCACTAAAATGGAAGGAGAAGAAGAGAGTGAGACCAGACCGATGTGTCAAATCCAATGCCTGCGCAAGGTGACTCTTTTCTTTTGTAACCTTCCCCAGATGACTCAAGTCCACAGAGGCATAAAGCATTTTCTGAAGTCCTAGAAGCCAGGCATTTAAAAATTGTCAGTTATCCCAGAGACAACTTGATCCAGAACTAAACCTACAACTATGCCACACGAGCACGATGATATTCATGTTTCCGTGGCCTCTCTTAACTATCGCTCACATACAAACACCGTTTGAAACGCAGGTCATCGTGGTGCACAGATGACAAGTCTTGGCAGTGTCAAGAATTCCTAGGACTGTGTTAAACTTATTTGGGCATGATTTGTGTCCAAAGCCTGAATCAGATTCTCTGCCTATAAAGAGCCTGCTATCTTCTGTTTTCTGTTAACGTGATCACCTACCCACTGAATGACAACATAAAATAATGGTATGCCTTAAAAGAAGAAAAGCAGATTTTTAAAAAGGGGGTTTTAAGAATACTGGACAATGTGGGGGGAAAAAAAAGAATATCAATGTGTAACCAACATGAAACCTCATGGGCTGGGTTAGCCACATAAGGAAGATACAGGAAAACCCACTCCTCCGCAACAGCTGTCACTGCCATGGAAAGGCCTTGCGAATGAAAAACCTGAGCATGCTGAAAGACATGCATTGCTTTCCAGTCTCTGCAACTTGGTTTCCTGCCTGTTAAAACAAGGCCAGTCACACCTGGATGTTAGCACAACTGGGTTATCCCTGGAGGACACATGTGCTGTTTGTTATTTTTACTAACAGGAATGCTGTGACCTCCTTTCTTCCTGGAAGGGCACCTGCCTCCTGTGTTAGGAGGCAACCCTCCTAATTCCCATCATGTGGCTGAGGGATTTAGGTCCAAATATTCATCTGGCTCTTCAGAGCCTAACACAGGGCCTGGCACCCCACAGAACTTCACTGAATAGGATTTGGCTAAATTTTCCATTTCTTAGGGTAGGTTCCAAATGGTTTATGTCCTTGGAGGAAAAAACCCAGCAAATTATGTTGATGCTGGGGAAGCGAAATGTCAACTGCACCTACACCATGGATTTGGGTTGAACAAGTGAAATCCTTTGTTAAAAACATCCCTATCTCTGCCCTTAGATTTGACGAGTGTGCTTTGATCTGGTTACAATTCTATCAGCAGATGGTTCCTGTGGGTTTTTAGAATTCATGGTCAGAGACAGTCCCTGGGCTAGGGCACGCCTCGTCCGTGGATCTGTGGGCTTTGCCAGAGCAGCAAATGTACAGCTGGCGTGTTTTCAATATGAATCTACTTACCTCCAGGAAGAACCCGTGGCCACTTGGAGAAACATGTATGTGTTTGTACACAGGGAGGGCAAATCAAAGATAAAAGAGGTATCAGAAAACATTTAGGAAAAGGGGACAGATGATTGTTCCAAAAACCAAGGGTGGGATGTTTACTTCGGATGAGCCCTTCTGAGCCCTGTGCTTCCTTACAGCCAAAGCAAAAAGGGAAACACAAAAGGTTATAAAACTCTCCCTGGCAAAGAAAACTGCGGTGGTTTGCCTCATCTAGCCACTTCAGGGACCTCAAAATTGATGCTGTACCTTCCCCCAGATCCCTACCTTCCATCACAAGGAAACATAAAGGAAAAAAGCACAATGTATCCTCTCAAAGAGATTCTGTTGTTGTTTTTTTAAAAAGCTTTTAAGTAATCTCTACACCCAGTGTGGGTCTGGAACTCACAGCCCCGAGATCAAGAGTCACACACTCCACCAACTGAGCCAGCCAGGCGCCCCTCAAAGAGGGTTCTGTTTTAAAAACCAAGACACCAATCTGACTGTAACAGTCCTTGCTCAAAACTCAACTGTTACCCGCACCCACAAGGTCAAGTCCAACTTCCCAGATTGATGAATGGCTGCTGTAACAAATCACCAAAAACACACTGCCTTCAAGCAACACAGATTTCTGACCTTCTTGTTTAGGAGGTCAGAAATCCAAAATGGGTCCTACAGGGCTAAATCAAGGTGTCAGCAGACGTGTGTTCCTCCTGGAAGGTCTGGGGGAATCCATTTCTTGTCTTTTCCAGCTTCTTGAGGCCCCCCAGATTTCTTGGCCTCTGGCCTCATCACTCTGATCTCTGCTTCTGGTGTCACATTTCCTCCTCTCAACTCATTCTCCTGCTTCCCTCTAAGGATCCTTAGGATTACACTGGGCCCACCTGGATAATCCATGATAATCTCCCCATTTCAAGATTCTTGACGAACACATCTGCAATGTCTCTTTTACCACGTAAGAGCACATGTTCACAGGCTCCAAGGATTAGGAAATGGATGTATTTGGAGAATCATTATTCTACATATCCCACTCGATACCTGAGGTTCTGTGTTCCAGCCGCAACCTGCTTTGTAGGCTGATTTACTCAACCCCCTGGGCATCTCGTGACAGACACATTTGTTACCATCTTTCCAGGACACACCCTGAATTTCACTGCCGCTGGGCCCAGAATACCATCTCCCCGGCCACAAAATCCTACTTACCCTTTAGGCACAACTCCATGTCAGCTCCCCCCATGCCCTTCCCTGACTCGCTCAGCTGGAATCGTGGCTGGCTCCTTTGGCACTTACACGAAGGCCTATTGAGAAGCACTCGTTTTTTGTTTTGTTTTGTTTTTTAAGATTTATTTATTTATTTTAGAGAGCGAGAATGAGAGAGAGAGTACATGAGAGGGGGTGGGGCTAGAGGGAGAAGTAGGCTCCTCGCCGAGCAGGGAGCCCGATGCGGGACTCGATCCAGGGACTCCAGGATCATGACCTGAGCCGAAGGCAGTCGCTTAACCAACTGAGCCACCCAGGCGCCTGAGAAGCACTCGTTTTGGTGAGTCTTCACTCAGGGTTATTTGTGTGTCTGTCTCCAGCATGAGACTGTAAATTCTATGGAGCAGAGACTGTTCTTACACACTTTTTATATCACTGACCCCTTACATAGAGAGTAAACACTCAAATGTGTGTTAAAGGAAAAACACACATACAAACACATACTCTTCAATAATGCAAAAGATGGAAAAAGAGCTCTGGGACCACAAACTGTTTTCAGTAAGCTGCCTGTAACAGTGAAAAATAGATGCCTAACAGTAATAGGACTGGTTCAAAAAATAATGGAATATCAAAACAACAGAATGTTCTGAAACTTTCCAAAACTGACAAAAGCCATGAAACAACACGGAAGAGTGCATATGGAATAATCAAGGGGAAAAAACACTTCAGAATATATTTGCTGCACATCTCTGCCAGTTATTTTCCTGAAGCAAGACCTAACAACTCATGTCAGATGTGTTCTCAAGCCACAGTGGACTGTTAGCTAAGCCCTGAATCAGGTGCTCTGCTGCCTGTGCTCATGTGGTTTCCTTTAGTAGGAATGTCCACTCCCCATCTCCGTGACAGCCCACTTCCTACCCATATTTCAGAGTCCAACTCTCACGCCCCCTTGAAAATTAGGTCTTCGCACATCCCCTTAATAAATGATTCCCTTGATGGCGTCTGTCAGTCTGCTGTGTATGAGAGCTGGGATGGCAGCTCCCAGTGCCCGCAGTGCCCCTGCTCCTCGCATCTACAGTTCGCTCCGCTGATCGGTCACGGCATGCTTTTGTGCTGAGGCCAGATCTTAACAGAGCATCCTAGGTAGCCACTTTCAACCGAACAGACCTGTCGGGTGAGTTGAAACCTTTATGCCATCTCTATCTTAGAGTTATTTCTGGTCACACATGTCCTCCATGCTAGAGTAAGCTCCGGCGGGGGGGGTGCCCCTCTTTACCACCCTTATCAGAGGCGCTCACTAATGGCTGCTGAGAAGAATGGCTACACCGTGAACTGGAAGGGAATGCAAACAAAAGTGCTTGTGTTACTACGGTGGGATCAGGGTGGAGTCTGGTCTTTGCTTGTTTTGCTATACAGCTGTGTTAGTAAACAAAAATGTTTTCAAATGGAGGAAAGCCAGGAAGTAGGAAAGAGAGAGATCACAGAGGTTCGAAGGGACCACGGGTGAGGATGGTCTGAGTACAGCATACATACCTCACGACTGGATTTCCATGGTACAGGATATAAATGCCAGCCTCCTTATTTGAAAAGATTTGATTGTTCCGGATGATGCCTTTCCCATTGCCAAGGACGACAATGCCAGAACGAAGGCCATGGTGGATCTGGTTACACTGCAAGGGAACATGAGACAGCACAGAAGACAGATCAGACCAGCCAGCAAGAAGCAGAGTGCTCAACTGCCGTCCCACAGCAGGGCCAGGGTGAACACAGTGGAGAAAACAACGCCACTGAAGACCCTTAGCTAGCATAAGACAAAATGAATGGACCACGCTGCTGCCCCGCCACACACATGCAGAGCTGTAAGGGAGAATCCAGAGAGAGGAGCCTTCGCCACCCAGCCTCTTGCCTCCACCTGCAAAGTACGCCACTGAAAACTGCTGAGCCTCCAGAGCTCCCCCCACCCCCCATTCATCTGGCCAGGCCACACCACCCTGGAGCCAGGGAGCCCACCTCTCCGGGAAGGGCAGCCCCCACTATATGACAATGTTGGCCACGTGCAGTCCCAAGCGGGCACCTTCAAGGAAGGGGGAGAGCCATCTGGCTCCTATTCCTCACTTCCCATTCAGGGAGGGCCTGTGGAAAGGTGTGGCTCTGGGGAGCCTGGTGGTTCCATGGGGCACGAGAGCACAGAGGGTGTGCACGCTACAAAGACCCTTAGATTTATTTCGAGTATCTCTTTGTATGAATGGGGAAGCAGGCCCAGGGTCACACAGTGTGGGGCAGAGCCAGATCTGAAGCTTAGTTTCCTGGTTACCTGCTTTTGCACAGTGACAACATTTTTAGATCATAATAAATGATAATAAAATTCTTTCACTCTGTTAATTTACAGCCTAAATACATTCCTGTACTTAAGCCAGGAAGTTAGCGGTTTCTCTTTCAAAACGATTTAACAAAAACAAAGTTCTAGCTTGCTTGAAAATGTGCCACACTGTAAGCTTTCCTATTCTTACTCACTTTCCAGATTTTCTCCTGAAGGATTTGGCAGACTCAACCGGGCAACCACTGCCTAACAGAAATCGCTCACAGGTTAAAAAGCTCGGCGAGAGAAGCGTAAGCAGTGGCATTTCCATCCCCCACACCCTTTCGGGAAGCCAGGGCAGAAACATGACGCCCCCTCCTCCTCCCCCTGCCAAACTGGCCTGTCCCCTCTGCCCTGGGAAGGCAAACTCCTCTCATCTCTCTGGCAACAGTGGCGATAACTTCCTCAGCCGAGGCTGTGCGTCAGATGCCAGCTGCCTGGCAGAGACACAGTGAGGGGAGGGGTTGAAAGAGGACACTGGTCAGGCATGTCTTTTTAAACAGAGTTAGGGACTGCCCTCCATCTGCATTTTGCGAGGGCAGTCTAATATAATGGGTCAAGAACATCAACCCTGAGTCAGACTGCCTGTCAGCTCTGTCATGAGTTGTATGATTTGGGGCAACATCCTTAGTCTCTTTGTGCCTCAGTATCCTCATCTGTAAAATGGGGATAAACAATAATTCTACCACACAGGGCTGTGAAAAGATTAAACCATAAATAAGTAAATATATACAAAGTGCTCAGAACAGTATGTGGCATACAATAAGCACTATGTATAAGGGTGGATATTACTTTTTCAAGTCCATAAGAAGTCTGACACATCTCCTACTTCCTAGGAAATGTGTCTCTCAGGGAAGCCCAGAGTAGGAAAAGGGGCTGTTCTCTCATATCACTGGTCCCATATTCTACCATCTCAAGTGGCTTTCTCATTGGTGTAAAATCAAACTCACATGACTTCACAATATCCATGAAACAATCTTCAGAACTCAATATCCTAAATGTCCTTTTTATTGTGAAGAATGATCTAACTTGGTGCTTTATTTTTGATCCAGGTGTCTTGTAGGGCAGATATAGCTTTATTTTTATCAAACTCAAAACCAACCAGAGCCTATCAGGGCTGAGGAAGTGCTCTGTGAAATTTCCCTGTCTATCCAGTCCTATTTCTTACTGACAAGGAGACTGGAGGGAGGTGATCTATTCAAAGCCACTCCCAATACATGAAGAAAGAGGGAGGCACAGAGTCATAAGGACACACAGAGAAAAGGGAAGGAACCACTTGCAAGCAGGAAGCAATACAAATTCAAGGTAATGGGGCGTCTGGGTGGCTCAGTCAGTTAAGTGTCTGCCTTTGGCTCAGGTCATGATCCCTGCCAGAGTCCCGGCATCTCGAGCCCCGCATCCAGCTCCCTGCTCAGTGGGGAGTCTTCTTCTCCCTCTGACCCTCCCCCTTCTTGTGCTTGCTCTCAAAGTCTTTAAAAATAAACAAACTCAAGATGGCAACATTTACTTAAATAATCTCAGAAAAGGCTTGAGAACCAAGAGCCACCTAAAAGAGCATGAAGACAGAAGTACCAGAATGAGTGGGTTGGACTTTTTCCGGATGTCTACGCCGGCCTCCGCATTGTGGTAAATGTTGTTGCCAGCGATCAAGCCTCCGCCCTCCAAGCGAAGAAAGATGCCTGACGCTCTGCAACGGTGAATGTCATTCCTGAGCATGACAATCTAGGCAGAAAAGAGAAAGCCATTTGTTTTCTTGTCACGGGTTTTTTATAAAACCACTTGGGGAACACTTGAGTCCTTTTCTTACCATCTGCTCCCTCCATGCTATTCCGCCCACAGGCAAGGGCCGCCTCTTCCCACCTTGTGTACTCCCAGGAGCGGAGCAAGCTCTGAGCCCTGCTTGGCTTTGCCCCGCAGGCTCCTTACCAACCGCAGTGGTTTTTTTTTTTTTTTTTTTAATAAAACCCGGACTGAAGCTTGGCCCCGTGCCCCGTAGTCACAAATTGCGAGCAGAATAACTGGATGATGGGATGGAAGGGACCCTCAGAGAAGATGGGATTTGGTGGTCTTCAAACTCTATGTGGACTGGGGTCACATGAAGATCTCCCCAGGTTCCAAGCTACAATGAATGGAATCAAATTCCCACATGTGCCTTTGCTAAAATTCACCTGCCTGAGAAAGCACCTGAGAATAACCTCCTACCTTCTCTTTTACATTGTAAGACAAAGTCCTATTCTTGTCCATTCTGAATCTTTCTTGGGTGTATGGTCCAGGGGTGGAAAAACCCCTGGTACTCCAAACTACGGGACAATTAGAAGTATTGGTACAAGGAAGCCTCCTTTAAACAAGGTACCACAACCCAGCACACAGCTTATTTAAGGGGATGTATTGCCACTCACATTTTTCCCCCTATTTAATAAGCATATTAAAAATTCAGAATATATTTGTATTATTTTAAGCAACTTTGTATTAATAGTAAAATATATTACATTAGGATAAACGATATATTACACTAAAATAAAAGCCTGGGAGTGGTAAAGTAGAACAGAAGTACAGCTTCAAGGAGAAGTCTTCCGTTTAGGATAGAGAAAGTTGATAAGAGCATTCATTGCTCCCACACCTACAAGAACAGAATCAGATAATATGCAACAACACACACTTTCTTGAATGCATCAGAGAGCTGAGGTGGCAGGACAAGCAAGGAGCCTGAAATCCAAGGACAACAGGCACCTCCCAGGAGATGAGATGTGAGCCCGTGCCTGCCTGTGCAGATGCAGGTGCCCCATGAACTGGTAAGAACCCAGCTACAAGTTTTAGCGAACTGTTAAAGGCCAAGTGTGAACTAGCGTTGAGGGTGCGGAAACTCTGGGAGTAGGTGTTTCTGTTCCCTTTTCCACACGCCTCGCTAGGTGCTCCTGGGGAAAGACTGGGGACCGGACAAGAGACTGGGGACAGCCTCCCTCATGGCACAGGCATGGGGGAAAGGCAGTGCAGCCACTGTGGGAAAAGCACTGAGCCCCTCTCGGAGTTTTCTCCCCAGCGTTCCTGCTGAACAAGCCTGAAGCAGCTGGGAGAAGGGCAGCAAGCCCTGTCACTCTCAAGGAAGTGAAAGAAAAAACCCCACCTCGGGCTCCGATCATTAGAGTCCCCCTCATGCTGGGGGTGAGGCAGGACCTACTTCCAAGCCCACAGACACAGCACCTACCTAAGACTAAGGACAAACGTACACGAGAAACCCTACCACCAGCCAGAGCCACAAGTGAAAGCAGTCTACTGCTGGGAGGACAGGGAGCAGAGCAAAGCCTACTGGCAAACCAGCAGAAGGTAAAGAACATGAAGCCTATGGTAGGCGGAGGATAATAACAAAACCCAAACCAGCTCAATCCTCACTAGACTGACCCAAAACCTGGTCCTCTAAAGGTCTGGCAAAAGAAGAGGTATGCCCATCTCCACACATAAATGCAATTGACCTCAGTCTCTATACAAGGTACACAAAACAGCAAGATAAACACCAGTCTTCTTTGTGGAGCCCGAAGCAACTGGGCTCCTTCTGTCAGCCTTACTCCCCTGGGGATGTTCTAGAGGGCAGGGAGGGGTGGCTGCCCTCCGGCCACCGGATCAAGGCTTTGCTCGTGGGCATGGGACCAGCTCAGCAGTCCTGGCACCCCCGCCCACAGCTCCCTGCTTGTATGAATGCCACTCAGCACATAGTACCTGATGCTGGATACTCAGGAGATTCATGGATTTTTTTTTTAAGTCAAAAATCCTGAATATCAGTTTCTTAGGTTCCTTGCTAGAGACTCACTAGGAATTTATAGGCTGCACAATTCCTGCCAGAAGCCCCTGGAGGCAATTGTTTAAAAGGGCTACAAGTAAGGTTGTGTAACTTTTCACATAACTTTTCCTTTTCGATGACTCCCAGCTACCACCTGCTTCCAAGTCTGCCTGGCAGGGCACATCTCTCCCCAAAGCTCCAGACCCAGGTAACCAGACAGCATCTCTGATAGATGTTGGAAATGCCCCAAACTCAGCATCTGTCTCCACACTCTAACCTCCCATGTTCCTGCTGATGCCTCTGCCGCTCAGGCCAGAAGCCTCAGCCTCATGCCTTTGACTGCTCCCTCCTAAAGCCCTCCCTTCTACCTTTCCAGAATGCTCTGTCCCCTCCTCTCCATCTCTGGACCACAGTTTTCCACTGCCCCTCACTGGTCTTGCCTCCAGCCTTGCTCCCCTCCATTCCATTCCCCAGAAAGCTTTCCAAATACAGATCTGACCACAGTTCTCCTCTGCTTAAAATCTGTCTGTGAGTTTCCCTTGCCTTCACAGCAAACTCCAATCTCTGTGGCAAGCCCTCCGTGCCTCAGCTAGCTGACTCCTGCGGACTCCCTGGTCCCCTGTCGCAGCCATCAGCTCATGCTCTGGCTGCTTGAGTCATTGGTGACTCCCTAAATGTACGGCGTCCTTTCTCACATCTGGCCTTCAAGCACACCTCCGTGTCTCACAGCTTCCCATTGCCAGCTCCTACACAGCTCAGCCCAGGCACTGCTCCTCCAGGGACCCTCTCCCTGAGGCTGGGCGCCTACGCCACCCACGGCACCTCCCACGCCGGACTGTAATAGCGCTTCTAAAAAATCAACAACAACAACAACAATCTGTTGAGCACTTGCTCTGTGCCAGACATATTGCTAAGAACTTTATATATACGACCTGAGCTAGTCTTTACCACACGTGGGAGGCAGACAGTATTGTTAGTCCAAAGGACAATAGCTATTAGGGGGCAGAGGCAGAATTCGACTCAGAAGCCACACTCGTAATAACTATGCAAGAGGGAAGACCCTCCTGGGGGCTCAGACCAGATCCTTTCATCGTGGTACCTGAGAGCACAACTATCACCCATCCTTTTGATCTGACCATCACCTTTTATTCTCTATATAGTAGTCTGATGTTCTTTCAGGGTACCACCACCCTTTAAAATCCTCTTTGGAAGTGGGCTGGACAAAGTGCAATCAGATGTGATTGCTGTTAACCATTCTAGCAGCCTGCAGAGATCTGTGAGTCTCACACGTGACACGTGTACGATGCCCTGCAGCTTACTAGGTGCTCTGCCAATTTTACGGCACTGGAGCCTCACAAACCCCAGTGAGAGAGGCAAGGCAGGGATGCTTATTTCCATTCTACAGAAGAGGACAGTAACGCTCGTGGTGAGTCAGTGGAGAGGTAAGACTCAAACCCAGGAGCTAGGCCATGCTTTCTTCCAAAAGGCTGTGCCTTTCCTTTCAGAAGCCTTTCGTGTGCTCAGCAGTTTGGAGGATCTGTGGACTGTCCCGCAGCGCCCCAAGAGACCGCAGGGTCAGGACGGCATCAGTGGCAGGACGCACTGCTCTTAGCGTAAAGTCCCAGTGTCTCTCAAAGGGGCTTTCCAGGCCCGGGGCGAGGTGGCTTCTGCTCACCTCCCCTGCCTCATTTTCAACCACTCCTCCATCCTCAGCACACTGTTACAATCAGCCTCACACCCAGGCCCCAGCATAGAATGTTCCGGCTGCCTGGAATGCCCTCACTCTGCACCCTTTCAACCACACGCACACCACTTTCCTTGGCTGTCCTCTACTCATCCTACACAGCTTAGACACCTCTTCTGGGAAGTCTTCTCCAGTTTGGATCAAAGCCAGTGATCATGTGTCCCTCAATTTCCTCTCATCCAGGCTAAAGAGCCCTTGTTCCTTCTACTAGGACTTGGGGACATATTTGAGAAACAGCATGACATAGTGAAAGGAGTTGGAAGACCTGGGTTCTAGTCCCAGTTCTGCCATTAACTTGCTGTGTGACCCCGAGTGAGTCACATTTCCCCTCTGGGTCTGTTTCCTCTTCTGTAAAATGGGAAGAATGGTTTCTGCTCTGTCCAAATCAGACGACGGACATAAGGCAAGGGTGTGTTATAAGCTGAAAAAAAGATGATTTAAAAAAAATGCAAAACAGCCTCACCAAAGCCTTCCTGTGTATAGCCACAGGAACCTTCTCTCGTTAATCAAAATCATGTTCCTAGTGACCCAGTGAGGCCTCACAGGTCTGTAGAGTAAACCTTATGATGGTACCTTGCTATTATGTATACACCGCACCGCATAAGTCAGGTTCCGGAAGATGTTTCCTTCCATCTTGGCTCGGCCATAGGAGCAAACAAAGACACCTCCCTTCCCGTCCCGGAAGAGGCACTTGCGGATGAGGCAGCCCTGCACAGAGCTGGCCAGTGCCATGGCCTCCTTGTCCTTCTGCAGCTCCTGCTGCAGTGAGTTCAGCACTAGGCAACTGGGCAGCTGAATGGATGCTCCTGGAAGTGGTGGGCCGAGAAAGGAGCCCCCCAGGACAGGGCGTGGGCCCTGCACTTGGTAGGACAGTCTGTATGTGAGCTGGTCCTCATCCTCATCCTCACCACTAGGACTCAGGCCTCCATCGCTGCTGTCTGGAGTCTGGGCCACCCTTTCCCCATCACTGCCCACCTCTGCCTCCTGTGAGCCAGCCTTGGAGCCTGGCTTTGGGGAGGTAGAAGCTGGGCTGGTAGGGCTTTGGCTGCCCTCGATGACAATGTCACAGGTCCTTGGGCTCCAGGCCTGGTCCCTGCTCTCCAGGTCTAGGGACATTAAAGAGTCAGAGTCCTCTGTGGGGAGTATGCTGGGTGAAGACTTGATAAGCCCTAGTAGATACTTGTAGGCCCAGTTCTTGTCTGCAGATGGGTGGCCCTCAACAGTCACAGAGTTGTTTTCACTGCCCACAAATTCACAGTTTTCCAGGACACACAAGGGCACATTGTGCAGGAAAACATGGGTGTTTTTGAAGGTACAAAACTTCACTTGGCAGGTGCCTGGGCCATGGACCTGGATGTGCCCATTCTCAAAGTTGCAGTTGTCAAACTGAACATGACCCGATGTTGTCTGAGGAATAGAAAAGAGAAAATGGTAAAACAGGGATAAGAATTGTTTTGCCAGTCAGTACTCTAACTGCTCTTTAAGGAGGGTGGAGCCTGGAGAGGCCATTTGTCCTGCTGATCCTGTTCTCCTCCTTCCTAAGGACATGTGTCAGCCCCCACACAGGGGGATGGGGACAGGAAGCTGCTCTGCATCAGAGGAAGGATAATTTGGAGTTGCTGCCTTTCCCTCCTTCCAATCCCAAAGGGACTGGAAATGGATAAAGGCAGAAAAGTTCACACTCTGCAACAGGGCCCTTCCTAAAGACCTCAAATCTCAAGTAAATTCTCCCAGTACTCAATTAGTGTCTAGTGAGAATATAAACTCTGAGGGGTGAAGATGGGAAAGAGGGAAGAAGCTGAAGCTCAGAGGGATGTTGGGTGAGATGGAGTCAACATGGTAACACAGGAGGTGAACCAGCAGGGTGAGCATCACTCTAGGGATGATCAGGAATGACCGGGAGAGCTTTGGACTTTCATAAACCAAGAATTGGCTGGGATTTGAGCACAACTTTACTGTGACCCCTGAAGGGCAAGGGAGTCCCAGCTCGGTGTCTTGGTTACATGAAGAAAGCGTGAGATCATGAGGTGTCTCACTAGGTCTCACCCCTTGAGCACATCCTCCCTTCACCATCCTCTCTCAGCCCTGCAACACTCCACAGAACACCAGCTTGGCATCTGAACTCAGGACAGAGCCAGGCAGAAGCCTGAGAGCTGACAGAAGACAGACCAGGAGGAGCTGAACCCTGCCTGGGCTGGGCTGGGCTGGGCAGGCAGTTGCGGAGGCCCAGCCACAGTTCTGGGAAAGAGTCCAGCCTGTGTGGCAACCGGTATATGTGTGTGGGGGGGGGGGGAGGGGCACAGCAAAGGACAGCAGGCTGTGTCCCTAAAGAGGGGGACAAGGTAAGCTGTCATGGCCCGGCAGTACTGAGCAGGAGTTAAGATGGGCTCTGGAGTCTGACCGCATAGGAATAACTCCCAGCTCTGCCTCTTTCAAGTGTGTTATTTTGGATAGGACTTCATCTCTCTGAGGCTTTGTATGCAATAGGGGGCTTGCCAGCCAACAAAGCACAAGGTAGAGAGCCAGGTACAAAGCTGGCACCCACTGAAAATTAGCTACCATTACCTGGGGCCAGGGACACAAAGAGCAGAGACTCCTCTGGGGTGGGGAAGTGCTGAATCCCACGCACCACTCACCTGAGCCCCTTAGCTCCCAGGCCTGGCTGAGAAGCACAGCTACTCTATATTCCTGAAAAAGAACTGTTTCTGGATTTCACGCTAAATTCCATCAGATGGATTTGAACCAGAAAATGAGGGAGGGTTTCATGATCCCACTGAGTAATCCAGACATATCCAGCCCTGAACAGTTTTTACATTCTCTAGCAGTGAGCACCCTGGAGAGCCTGGCCCAGAACTTACTCGCCTTAACCCCTATAAGCTCTTCCTTATGGCTAACTTAATTTTTTCTTGCAGCAATTTAAGTCTATTTTCTCTTACTGGGTCCTCTCTGTAGATGAACACCAGCTATCTGGAGATGCAGAGCCATTGCTGGGGTTCTCCTCAGAAGTCACTTCCCATATTCTTCCCTCATCCCCATGAAATAAATAATAGAGAAATTTGGGATTTGGTGGTTTCATCAGATATGTTAATTACTGATGCAGAAATGACAGTTACATGTTTTTCTTTCTTGGTGGCAATACATATCTTTTGAAAAGCACTATATAACGGAATGTGTAACATGCAACTGTGATCTGGAAATCACACTATAGAAATACATGATTATGAGATTCAAACAATGAAAAGATGAAAATCACATCATTAATGTCACACAGTTTTTAAATGGAAATAACAAATGTTCACCAATAAGAATTTGTTTAAATTTCATATGATCCCATAATAATATGGGGCGTTTGAGGTAATGTCAAGGACATGTAATATCAGGAGAACATAATACAGGCTTTGTGAAATCAGACCATAGCCTTCATAGTATAATAAAATTCATAACCGCTGTGAAATCACCCTGGTCTTTGCATTTTAAAGGCAAGGTCATCCTAGCCCCTTGTCCTGTTTTCACTTAAAAGACGATCATGGACGGAGCACTAATATATGCCAGGCCCAACTCCCGAGCATCTGAGGCTGCACTTCCAAGGGAGAAGGAGAGGCCGAAATGAACATATTACTCTAAGAGTAAATGTTGTATGAAACGTGAAGGGTCTTGAATCAAACTCTTCTGGGTCTGCAGACCAGCACAGGAGTTGTACATCAGTCCTCCTGAAACATTCTAGGCCTAAAAAACAGGCTTTTAAGTTTCCAAGGAATCCAGCACAATGTAATTTCAAAGGTACTTAGAATTTGAGTTCTGACCTCACTAAATAATCACCTGAGAAAGTTACTTAGCATCTCTGAGCATTAGTGCCCCTGATCGGCAAAATGGGGATACCATGTCTACTGTCTACCACAACTATTTGTTGTGGGGATCAAATGAAGTCACAGATGGATAGTCACCTAGATTATGAATATAGGCTTTGGATCCTCGCTCTGTTCCTTACTAAGTCTGAGACCTAGGTATGTCACTTAATCTTGCTGAGCCTCAGTTTGCTCATCTATAAAACCAGATGGCACGACCCCTCTTACTAATGGCTGGAAAGCATACACCAGCCACATAGTAAGTGTACTGTAAATGACTGGTTGTATGATGATCATTACAAACCCGAGAGACAACGTGTTGTGATTGGTAGTCACAGTGGCAATATAATTATTACTGACTAGGTCTGAAATCCAGATATTATAATGTTTCTAGGCAATGTAAAGCTGTATAGACTCTTCTGCCGGGAGCTACCAACATGTCAATACATTCTTTGCTTTGAATACAGCCTGTGCTCTGTGTTCCTAGAAGGTTAAGTGTTGGGCTGGTATTTCCTGGCCCTCTCCCCAGTCACCCTTGGTAAAAGCCTGACCTTCCCTGACCCTCCTCCACAGGGTGGGGCTAACATGCTAAAGGTCATTGGTCCTGCATAGCGTCCCCTGACTTTGGCCGTCTCTGGGCATGAAGCGTTCTCTGCTTCCTGTCACTGTGAGGTATACTCCCGGACCTGGATTTTCCACCTAGCTATTCCACTTGTGGTGCCAGTTCATCCAGTGTGGAAGGAAAGAAGTACAAAGCAGTTTGGGTCTTGAGTCCCCAGCTTATTTTTTAATACAGTTTTGCCAGGAATAAAGCAGAATGTTGATCATTACTGATCCCTTGCCCATTTCTCATCTGCTGCAGAACTCAGGAGTGTGTTATAGGAACAGTGACAAAACCCTCAATTCCAACAAAAAAGGGGTTGCAAACCCACTGAGAAGAGGCCCAAGTCGTCTGACCAGAGAGGCCACCCATCTGGATGTGGGCACCCACCTTAAACATGAAGGGTGAGAACCAGGCCGGCATGAAGACAAGGTTGCACAGGCGTGTAGTGGAGCAGTGCTGATCGATGCTGGCGAGTAAGGCCACCTCACCCAACTTCCCGTGGCCTACGATCTCCACGGGCACCTTCAGGATGATTTCACCCTGCTCTTCATACACACCTGGAAATAGCACAATTCGGTCATACAGGCTTGCCATGGCCAAGGCGCTGCCCAGGCTGTCAAACTCATGACCTGGCCCAACACTCAGGGTACGGCGTTCCCTCCTCCGGCGAAATAGAGAAAAGCAGACAGAGGACTCCAAGTCCAGGGCATTCTTGGTCCACGTCTTGGAGGCAAGGTAATGCTGCTTGAAGGCCTCCCGCCAAGACTCAGGCTCCACATCAGGCTGGTTGGGCCAGTTGGGGTGGCGGCATTCGGTGCATCCCAGACACAGCTGTCGCCAGCGAGTGCTGTCGAGACTGAGGATCAGTTCATACCAGGCCCTGCAAACCAGGCTGCAGCGGCCCAGGTCGGGCAGGTGCAGGTAGGCTAAGATCATGCGCCACAGCTCCAAGGGGAGGCCGCCAGCCTCCATGGTCACCTAGGAGACAGACACAAAACAAAAGAGGTTTTTGCTGACCCTGCTTACAGCTCCCCCTTCTTGAAATATTCCCTGCCTTCTCCTGACCCCAAGGGTGTGAAAGTGAACAAGGCCCAGCCAATCATAGGACTCCATCTCCTCAACTGGAATTCTCTGGGATTTTTCTGCCTGGAGTCAGCAGGGAAGACTCTTTTCTCTTGGTCAGACACTATGCGGATATGACCTGCGAACTGCTGTCAGCCATGTTCCCCACTTGTGGAGAAAACCTTGTGGTACCAGGGCCAAGCAGAAATGAGGAAATGAAAGATGAAAAGTGAAAAAGATAAAGAAAAAAAGTGATCACATGTGTATGAGTCCTGGTGGTACTGATTCCAGATTCCTGAAAGCTGCCCTGGAATCTTCGGTTCTTTCTTCAGTTCCATGAGGTACCTAATGACCTTCTAATAAATACCCTTTTTTGCTTAAGCTGGTTTGACTTAGGTTTCTATGACTTGTCACTAAGATTTTGGACTAATGGAACCCCCCTTTGGCTGTTACAGTCCTAGAGCTCTGGATTCCCTCGACTCCCAGGGAAGGGACCTCTAGTTCTTCACACTAAGAGGAATAAGAACTGAGGCAATGAGTGTCCATCTGTCTGCCTTTCCTGTTACCAGACCAAATAATTACCACTGTTTTCCCATGTAAGGCAGCCTCAGGAAACACTGATGCTGGATCAGAGGCTGTGGGTTTTGGTCCTGGCTCTGCTACTGGTTACTGATGCAACCCTACTGTCCTACTAAGCACCTACCCTACTGGCTGCCCAGCCATCTGCCCCCTTGCTCTCTGCGCCGCCCCCCCCCGCCAAAATTTACCCCACATACTCAGAGATGCAGGGCTCCCTGGTAGCCATGCCTGTAGAATGATACTACTCCAGACCCTTGGCAGCTGGACTCTGGATGGCTCCAACTGGGTCACTGAGATCTCCAGGGGAATAGGAGTTGCAATTCTAGAATTGGTTGAATTCTTTCCTGAATGGAAGAGAATGAATGGCTTCTTTCCTGATATAAACTCAGAAAAAGTTGCTAGTGACCATTTTCTCTGCAAGGGGGTGGGGGTGGGGTGGGGCAGAAGAAGTTAGTCTACATTGAGAGAAGAATGAATCAGGAGACAGAAACAGAGAAAAGGGCAGAAACCAGGGGCATCCCAGTTTCTCTATAGCACTCCAGGTCATGGCTCCAGCCTATGCTCAAAACTCAGCTTTATCTTTGCCTTTTGAACTCCATCAGCTAGCTCTGTACTCTTGTGATAAATTCTTTTTGCTCAAGTTGGCTTCACTGAATTTCTGTTATTTATACCTAGTTAAAGTCCTCTCATTTATGAGTGTCCATTTCCCCACCTAAAACACAAGGGGACTGCATTAGATGACCCAGAGCAACTTCCAAGTCTGAAAACCTGTAAAGTCTCTGGACAACTAGAAACTAAAATTGGAAATAGGGCAGACTTCACAACAGACTGTAATCAAGTTGTTAACCTCTTCAAGGCCTTGGTTTTCCTCTCCATTTTATGAGCATGATGATCATACCTGTCAGCTATACAGGCCCAGGAAGGCTATAGAAGCACAAATGTGTGACTATGACTACAAGAATTCTGAGCTTCATCGTAACAGGTCTTGCTTTAACTCTATAGATTAGTATTAGGAGCTGGGTATATAGGTTCTTCTATAACAATCACCTAGTAAGACTTTACTAAGTCCTTGACAGCACTGAAGAAAAGCTAGGTTCTGGACTGGCAAGCATCACAGAACAAAGGTTGGGCTCCTGGTAGCTGTGACTTCCCCACACGAACACTGCTTTATTCACAGTGGTCTCCATGATACCCACGTCTCCTGTTCTTCACCTCCTTCTTTAGCCATACCTTTTCAGGCTTTTTAAGAGAAAACTGTTTTTCTACTCCTTCTCTATTCTAAGAAGGTAAGTATAGCTAGGTGATCACATCCATTCCCTTGGCTTCAACTGTAAAAATCTGAATCTCCAATAGTCTCTCTCAGGCCTTCCATACAGATACCCGATTGCCTGTTGAGCATTTCTACTTGGGATGTTCCACAGATACTAAAAACTCAGCATTATATCCAAAACTGAACCTCAACTTGCACTTCAAGCCATTACAAAATAACTGGAACTAGAATCTCCCTCCTGCCATGGAAAACTATAAAGGTGGACTGAAAATATGCTTTCAGGAATTGAACTGCACAGGACGGTAATCTTTGAGAGAAGGGAAACATAGCAGGGGAGGATGTGACTGCTCTAGCTTTCATCCGGGGGTACCTTCTCATTGTGGGGTAGGGAGATGGCACTCAAGCAGAGTGGTAGTCTCGATGAGCAGGCAGATCTGAGTTCTGTGATGCTCAAGTGGCTGGAATCTGTGAGGCAGGGTGGGGTGGGTGGGCACTTTCTCGGCTCAAAGCTGGACTGCACATGCACAGGGCATGCCTTCATTGGACTTAGCAGAGACCGCCTGTTATGGGGTAAATGGTGATACTAGAGATCACGCAGAGCTGGGAGATAATGGTAGTCCAGCCCAGAATAGGAAGTGTTCACGTTGAGACTCAGAAAGGATATGCCACAGGAACAGATTCAAATTATAAGAATAAAAGCAAGCCTGATAGAATCAAAGGGTTCTGCCAGTAACTTAATTGTCTGTTAGAATACTATTTATCACTTAAAAAAAAAAAAAAAAGACAACATAATGTAGATTCTCTCAATATGCCAGCCACAAGACAGTGTGGTATGGGTATAAGGAAAATAGAGTCTAGAAACATACCAATTTGACAAAATATCAATGCAATTCAATGAATAAACAAAAACCTTTTCACCAAATGGTGCTGGAAAAACTTAGCATTCATATGAAAAAATGAACTTCCGACATATACCATGTACAAAAATTTAAGATTGATTTTAGACCTCAATACAAAAACCAAATCTATAAAGCTTCTAGGAGAAAACATAAGGGACGCCTGGGTGGCTCAGTTGGTTAAGTGTCCAACTCTTGGTTTCGGCTTGGGTCATGATCTGGGGGTTGTGGGATCAAGTCCCACGTCGGGCTCTGTGCTCAGCAGGGAGTCTGCTTGAGATTCTCCCTTTCCCTCTGCCCCTTCCCCTCCCCAGGGAGACACACACACGCTCTCTCTCTCTAAAATAAATAAATCTTAATAAAAAAAGAAAAAAAAGAGAAAATCTAAGAAAATATGCAACCTCAGGATAGGCAAAGATTTCTGAGAACACAAAAGGCACTAATCATAAAAGATGAAAATAACTGGTCTCTCAAAATTAAAATTTTCTGCTCATCAAAAGACATCATTTAGAAAATTACAAGACAAGTGAAAGAATGGGAGTAAATATTTGCAATGCACATACAGGACAAAGGGCTTATATCCAGAATATATCAAGAAATCCATAATAAAAATAATAAAATCCAAACAAAATTTTAAAAATCCAACAAAAAATAGGCAAAGGTTTGAACAGACACCTCACAAAAGAAAAACAGCCAATAAGTTCAAGAGAGGTTCCACATCATTAGTATTCATTACTTGTTTTGTATTAAAACCATAATGAGATAGATGTGTGTGTGTGTTAAACTCACTACAATGGTGAAACGAAAAACAATGAAAGCATCAAAGCATTGAGATGTGAAGCTACCAGAACTCTCATACGTTGCTGGTAGGAGCATAAAATACTACACTCACCTTAGAAAACTGTCTAGTGGTTTCTTCTGTAATTAAACAAACACACCTATTCTATGACCCAGGAATTCCACTCCTAGACATTTACCCAAGATAAATGAAAATGTACATCTACACAAAGATTTATATGAGAATGTTTACAGAAGCCTTATTCTTAATAGTAAAACAAAAAACTGGAAACAACCCAAATGTCCATCACCAGAAGAGTAGATAAACAAATTGTGTATTCATGCAATGCAATACCGTTCAGCAGTAAAAGGGGATGAACTGCTAATATATACAATAGACAGGTGAGCCACAGAAATATGTTAGGCAAAAGAAACTAGTCACAAAAGACCACATATTGTATGATTCCATATAGGTGAAGTTCAAAAACAGACAAAATAATCTCTGGTGATAAAAATCAGAACAGCGCTTGAAGGGGTTGCATGGAAACTTCAGGAGTGGAGGAAGCGTTTACATCTTCACTGCTGTGTTAGTCACATGCGTGCACACATCTGAAAAAAATCACTGAATTGCATGCTTCTGTTCTGTGCATTTTATTGTATGTAAACTTTATCTCAATTTACAAAATAGTATAGATTATCATCTCTCCAGGCCTGCTCTACATGTCCCAGTTAATGGCACCAACATCTTCCACCTTGCCACCCCAGTCAGTAACTAGGGAAACCTCCTTGATTTCTCTCTCGCTCTCTCCCAGATATTTTCTCAAGTCGTGTGTTTCCACCTCCTTAAGCACTCTCAAATTAGTCCTTTCCTCTCTCCTCTCTCTGTCACAGAGCTGTTTCTGGCCTCACCATCTTTAGTTTGGATTACCACAGTAGATTCTCAACTGGTCTCCCTGGAACCAGTCCTGCCTCCTCCATCCAATCCACTTCACATACAGCCATCAAGGGAAGCTTTCTAAAATGTAAATGTGGGCATGCCACTTGTCAGCTTAGAATTCCTCAATGGCTCCCCATGGCTTCCAGGATAAAACCTAGTACAGATGACAGCTCATGAGCTGGTCTATTTCTCTAGCTTCATCACTGATGTTCATCCCAACTACCCTCACTCTCCCAACAGCACCTTGCTCAGAGGCCCTTTCTTCATCCTCTCCTCAGACATCAAGTGCCTCTTCTGGCCTCTCATAGCTACCTGAGAATAGTTCTATCACAGCCTTTTTAAAGAGCAAATGTGTAGTGATTTGTTTTATAAGGCAAACATCCTGCTAACCACTACCGAAATCAGAAAACAATTTTGCCAGCTACTCTAGAAGCCTCCCCATGTGCCCCATTCCAAT